ACATTATTGTATTTTTTTACATTATTGTATTTTTCTTATTTAAATGATGTAAATATGTTTGATCTGTTTTTAACTTCTATTTTTATTTTTTATAAGTATATTCCCGTCCCCTGTTTTCTGGAGCTGCTGTAATGCACAAATTTCCCCCACGGGGGATCAATAAAGTTTATCTTTATCTTTATCTTTATCTTTAAGACACCACAACTAAATCAAGACACCACAACCAAATCAAAACACCACAACCAAATCAAGACATCACAACTAAATCAAGACACAATAACTAAATCAAGACACCACACCTAAATCAATGAAGACACCACAACCAAATCAAAACATCACAACCAAATCAAGACACCACAACTAAATCAAGACACGACAACCAAATCAAAACACCACAACTAAATCAAGACACCATAACTAGATCAAGACATCACAACTAGATCAAGACACCACGACCAAATCAAGACACTACAACTAGATCATCAATAGAAAAGATTGCAGATGGCAAAACCTTACGCAGGCATCAAAATCAATTGTACACCCACTGGCTGATGAGCATTTAGCGTCTGATCAACATTGCCCTGCCTCCAGAGATAATAGCCCCCTTCGGATTCTCCATTCATATAATCTATTCTAAGACAAATGACAACATATAACCAAACACACAACTTTTTTGTTTAAAAATACATTTAGCTATGTTCTATTGTCTGTGGCTGGATTGCCTGTAGATGGTAATGCCTTTTCCTTGCATTTTGATGTATTGGCTGCATGTGGTTATTGTGTCAGTATTGTCTACTTTTTGTTGCCTTGCCTTTATTTTGCTGTATTTGATTGTGTTGAATGCATTTCTACAATTCTACAATTTATTTAGCAGATACTTTTATCCAAAGCAACGTACATCAGAGAGTAAGTAAAACAAAAGCGAGGATCTAGAGAGGAGCAAAACAATGTCAGTAAGTGCAAATGAACAGCTTTAAGTCAGATCAGACACTAATGCTGACAGGCAGTGCACAGAGGCAAAGCACAACATTGACAGCTGTTCTTGGGAGCTCAATCAGTATAGAAACTTTATTCTTTGGTTGATGTGCCTTGATTTGGTTGTGTTATCTTGTTTGGTTGGTTGACCTTGTTGATGGTTATTTTCTGCAGCAGTTGTTTTCTTAAAGCTCCTGGGAGGATTGTTTGGTTGGTTATGGAGCTCACTTAAACTTATACTGATACTGTGAAATGGTTGACAAAAGCAAACAAGACCTTAAGATTGAATATATTTTCTTCTGTGAAGTTATTCTTATTCGTTACTGCTTTCAGCGGGTTGGTGTCATTTTCTACAGCCAAGATTCAGAGTTAGGGATATATTTGACAATTCAAACTTGGCAGAAGGAGATTTTTCATCAGTAAACACAACTTACACAAGTACAGGACAAGATCAGCGAAGAGATAAGAGGTCAAACTTTGTCTCCAGGGGATGCTTAGTGTGACACAAAGATTTTTAGTTGTACGGTGTTAAGCTCTCAGGTTCACAGCCATATTGTCTTAAGTGGAAATCATCCTTTGTAATTAGCATTTAAAATTAAATGTCATTATATATAATGAGGTAAAAGAAGTGTATAAATACGTTTTTTATAAATATGTCTACATGATTGTTATCCTAATTTACCTTACACACATTTACGCCATCATAAGAATTGTTTTATATCCCAGCTCCATTGGTTGCCTGATAAATCATTAAAAAAAAATTAGCTATTGTAGCTTTTATTTTATTTTTTTTTAGCTTTATTGTAACACTTTATCATACTTAGGGTATTATAAAAACCATCCCTTCATCCAGTGTATCCTCTGGAGTAACTAGGGTTCTTCTTAAAAGCAGGAGATATGGTGACTACACACCATCTTTATATGACTGAAATACATTAAAAAAAACTACAACAGGCTGTATAGCCGATATACAAATAGACTATATGAAGTATATTTAATTTCTAAGAACTCAAGGTTATATATATCAATACTGTTTTTTAGTTCATTAATATTTCAAAACTGATGTCAATGACAATGCTTTAATGTTTTAGAATGAAATAGAAACAATGTCATAGGTGACAATATTGTTGAAAGCAGCAGGTTGACTCTGAGTGTCATCATATAAATCATATGTAAGATAGAAAATGTGAGACGAAATGTATTAGGAATAACTATAAAATGTTTAATTATATATAAAATAATGGTATTGATAAATATTGAAAATGGTATTGATAAACTTTGCATAATTGTAACTAATAACTATCTGTGAACACCCTGTTCAAATTTGGTGAAATTCTGATTCCCAGAGATACATGTGATAAGGCTAGAGCTGCCCCTTTGGGAGAAGCCCTAATTTGACCTATTTTCGTTTTTTGGTAAGATGCATAAAACATCCCAAAAAAGTTATTTTGCAGTAAAATATTTTTATACAACTATCCATTTCATAAACTAGACATGTTCAAGTTATGAAAAAATATGGTCGTGCTTTGTTCTACCTCGGGTATACTACAGCCTTTTTGGGGGGTTTGTTCCTCTACTATTAACTTAATGTAGGATAATGAGCTTACAGTACAGCTATATAAAATAGTATATTGTGTATGGCTCCACACAACGCAACTTAAAGGCTTAATATGCGATTTTTCACACTTAAATGTAATATAAATCAAGTATATCCTCTGAAAATAACTCTGTGAGTCATGACTGTCTACAATGGGTGTAACACCCGAGTCCCACTGTCTGTGATGTTTTCAGAGTTTTCAGAGTCCTATCTTCACTTTGTTTACATCGCTTCTTCCTACAGTTGATGTAGAAAGAAGTATGCATGAACACCCATGTCAATTGTGTCATGCAATTTAAAGAAGCTGTGAAATTGTGCACTCATGTTTAAGCCAAGGATAGATGTACCTTTGCCTCCAATCATCACACAAAGTTAATGTGCAAGGAATGATGTTTTTCTGTTACTGAACTAGCCTCTGAATCCCAGCTTTGTATTGGTTTGTGCTGTTGAATCGGTATAGATAATTTTAGGGTATACACGATCAATGTAGCCATGGATACATAATAAATGTCTCATGTAATTGAACCTCTCTCATTGTGCTAGTTCAAAGACCACATAAAGACACGTCTTTTCATTTTATGTATACATTTTCAGTGCAACAACAAACAGCACAGCTACAAAAGCACCCACCCCTCATGGGTTAACCAACACAAAAAGAGGTAAGAAAAATGAGGCACATGACACTAAATGAAACAACACAATTAAAAAAACATACTCTTGTAGAAGACCAGGGTTTTTCCTTGCTCAAAATCAGGCGGTGGTGGTACCTTTCCTACCATGTACTTTATGTACCGTGCATACTGGCTCAACACTTTTACAAGCAACATTTGGAATTCTAATAATTGTTTAATTAAAGAGATGCAAAATCTCACATGAAAACCTTATTTTTCTTCTAAGGAGCAATATGTAAGATACAGAATTAAATCATAAAATGACCTTACTATATCCATCAGACACTAAGGAAACATTGTTGTTCTCTGACAACAATGCAGCAGTAAGTATGTAGGTGGTTTTAAGGCACCCCCACTTAGCCGTTTTGGGTTTGTTGTAAGTGGGACAGATTTAGCAGAAATGTAATTTAACTGAAAAGATTTTGGCTGTTCTGGTTGGACATGATGAATATTGATCAGAGATTCTGTCAGCTGTTTGTTAAGTTGGCTGCCCGGCTACCAGCACCGTTGCCCGGCTTGAGTACAGGACTTCCGTCCGCCAGGATTTTGAACTTGTCAGGCCTGGGGCAGAGAGTGTCAGTGTTTGATGACAGGGAGAATGTTAAACTGTAGCAAAGAGATGAAGCGAGTTCAACACGGACTCCGGGGATGGCGAAAGCATGAAGTGTCAGGCTGGTAAAACGCAGAGGGATGAGTTGGAGCTGGAGCTCATAGCCCCAGAGCTAGCACTAGCTCCAGGCATCCCGGGGCTGCAGCCACAGACCCACACTCGGTTCTCATCCCCGATGTCAAAATCCCGGTCGGACTCGCTTTATCTCCGCGTTTCGGTAACAGTGACGTTATCTTGTGTCTTCAACAATACAACTTCCCTATCTAAAATAACTTTCTGTTCCTAGCTGTCTCTCTTACTCTCTCACATAAATAAACAGTTCCACAGCGCCCCTACAGGCCTGGAGCACTTCCATTTAAGGCTGAACTTGCAGCGTTTCTTTGTTTGCTGTTGTTTTCTGATTGTGTGTTTTTGAGTTAAGTTTTGTTTTTGTACTTGCAGCGTGTTTGATGGTTATGCAGTTGTTTTGCCTATTTGCAGCGTGTTTGTGTCTTTGCAGCGCGTTTGTTTCTTTTGCAGCGCGTTTCAGCCTTTTAGCATTTGTTGTGGTAGTTTGCATTTGCTTTTGGATGTGCAGCGTTTCTATGCTGCGCATTTTTCTAAATGTATGTCGTTTCATCAGTTGCTGAGCGTTTGACCCCTACCGGCCACCATAGATACTGCCATAAATAGATTTAAAAAATAAAAGTGACTCGCGGTCGAGTCCGCACATTGGAGAACAACATGGAGAACATGACGGCTACTTTGTGGATGATTGTTTAGTCATGTTAGTCAGATACAGCCAGAACACTCTGGATTTCTCCATAATGAAGGCCGTCATGGTTGTGTTCCCGTGTGCTCGTGCTTGTGCATGAAGTGTACCGTGCCGAAGTACACCTCTCTGAAGCGTGCCAGGACCAAGGAAGCACGGTACACTTTTCTTTTAAGTTATTTAAATGCCATTACTAAATGAATCACATGATTTAATGGATGCATATTATAGTCTGAAGTCTTTATGATGTCACCTCAGTCAGATGGATTTTGATGATTGCTGTCAGAAGAGGGATTGCTGGTTTAATGTGATTTGGGATGATACATTCTTTCTATTTAAGTTTTTACCCTTAACTTTCTTTGCATTTTTGTTACGACAAAGCAAAGACTCAAACAATTTCACAATGAAAAATAAATGTATTTACTCCTTAGTATTTACCTTACACATTCATTCAATACATTTCACATTCAAATTTTTTATAGGTTATATCACATTTGATCTAAAAGTAACGGAGAGAGAAACTCTGACCATGACATTTTTTGTCCAACACAAAGTAAGACTCGAGAAGAGGAAAGCATATGCATATGTTAGAGAGCAAATGGGTTGTAATGGTGTTGAGCTTCAGAGGTTATTTGCAGCAGCTGTGAACACATTCAGCTCAGACATCTAAACCATTCTGCAAACCAAGAAGTGTTTGAATATTAAACTCAATGCCAAGAGGCTAATTGCTACCAACAAACTAGGGTGGCAAATGTGTGAGAAGGGCTGCTTGCAACATTTGGCTGTATTTGGCTGTTAGCTAATTCAGAAAGCTACAATTAGAGCTGTTGCCGAAATGCTTCACAGGCGTCTTAATTCTATGGTGATCAAAGTAAATGAAGTACAGACGAAAATAAAATTACTACCTAGAGACAGCTGTTGGGCCATTTTCCTCTGCTGTGCTCAGTGTAAAATGAAAATGCCGTTACTATATAATGTCAGTGGGTTTGTTTTAGGTTTGAAAGTGGTGTAAACATTGGGAAACTGTCAAATCATTCTTATTTTACTGCTTCTACTCAAGGCTGTCTCCATAACTACTACCGAGTAATGTTTGGTTTTCATATTGCATCAAGTAACAATATCATAGTGTTAGGGTGTGGCTGGAGGTTATCATAAGCAGTAGTCTAATACAGCTACCTGGTCATCAAATATATTGTTTAACTTTAAAATATCCCTTCTGATTTTCTCTATCATCTGCTCATCAGGTGAGGCTGATAAATGATAAGGATTTGTGAAATATAAAGGATTTTAAGCCAGCAGTAAGACACCATAAGAGCATTCAAGTTTCACAGCCCTGCTCTGCCTCTCAGTACTTTTCCATTCAGACTGCCTCCCTCTCACTCTACCTGTCAGCCACCTCATCAGCTCACTCAGCTCACCTGTTCTCTAAGCTGCAGCTGATCAGTAATCAAGCCACTACAAAAGCTGCTGCTCCATGCTCACTCATTGCGAGATCGTCATCACATTCATGCCCGGCTTTCTAGCGGGATCCCTTGGACTGATTTACCGGTACTGACCCTGCCTACCTTTTAATCACCTTCTCCAGCTAAAGCCTGGTAATTACCTCAGCCTTCTGTCCCGACCACAAGTTTTGCTTCAGGGTCTCCTGGTTCCTGTTTGCCTGTTTTCTGGGCTGAAGTGAATTTTTCCCGTGTTCCCTGCTTTGATTGTTCTGCACGATCAGGTCTGGTATGTTTTTCTGTGCCATCAGGGGCTACATTTATAATGGTAGATATGTTGCAAAATGTGAGAGCTTGTAGAATTTGATGTGAGAACTTGAAGGGAAAAAAAGTGAACTTGTATGTAAAAATCATAATTAATTTATTTTTATCACTGGTGCCTATTATCCTTGACAACCACAACTCTGTGGTTACAACTTCTCGACTCTGCCGCTACAACTGCACATACTACTTCTCTCGTGAATCTGCGCTGCTTGAGTTTTGCAACACACTTTGCGAGACGTCTGTAGCAAAACAAATTTGTACTCGCAGAAATGCCCCCCCACATCGACATCAAATGTTTTATTGACATCAAATCACCTCGTGTCCTGGACATCCTCTCACAGTTCATAGTTTGTGAAGAAGGCTGCAGCGGCCAGCAATATAGCCATGAGACGGTTACTGCCGCCAGGGGCATTTCACGTGAGAAAAGTAGTTTGTGCAGTTGTAGCGGCAGATTCGAGAAGTTGTAACCACAGAGCTGTGGTTGTCAAGGATAATAGGCACCAGTAGTAATAAAAAAAAATTGGGGTAAAGTATGGTTGTTTTTTTTTTTTTTTTTCCCCCTTCAAGTTCTCACAGCACATTCTACAAGCACTCACATTTTGCAACATGTCTACCTTCATATACATTCCTCAGCCGGCTAACAGAGACATTGTTTAGTTTGGGCCGTGATTACCTGCTGTTGAAATAAGTGTGTGTGTGTGACTATATCTGCCAGTTTCCTTTCGTGCTGCAGTTGGGGTCCATACGCTGCGCTTTACTTGAAGTTTTCTAGCCTGAGTGAGACTTCAAGGAATAATGAGTTCATGGCTGTTTCATTGGAAAAAAAAATCTGTCGGCACAGCAGGAGTGTCGATGAGTGTGAATGAAAATGGCTGCATGAATCAGAGCCTGAATCTGTTTTTATTTCTGGTTGCCAATTCAAGTTGTGCAAAAAGAGCATTTGTAATGAGTGATGTCAACTTAAGAGAGATGCAACTCCTCCTTATAATTTTGGCTGAGTAAAACTAACACAAATTGGTGCCATATTTCATGTTCTCATCCTATACAAGCCCTTTCCAACTCTCTGGGCACTTCTAACTTAATGACGACTTTAAAATAAATACGAAAATAAAATTACACTGAAACTAATCTTAACATTACAGAGAATAGTCAAGTACCAACAAACCGCAATCGGTTACTAATATACTCCTTGCTACATCTTATACGATGTTCCTCAGGGCAATATTGTCTGTCCTCAGTCAGATGTCGACCACACAGCCCGGAGCGTTGGCTGTTATCGCATCAGATATGACCTTTGCTCCAGATTCTCCAATGCCATTTCCCTGCAAACTGTAGAAAAAACAGAAACTGTTAAAATCAGTAAAACATGGAGTCACCCTTGAGCTGCAGCTTTTTTGTGATACATTAAGTGTTTCCATGTAAGAGAAAATTAAGACAAGTTGTAGCTGAGAAACCCACCTGATGTATGTTAATTGGTGGTTTCCTTTCAAAGCTGTTGCAATGAATATGGCTCCATCCATACCAAGAGAGTTCTCCTGCAAGCTAATGATGTGCAAAAACAATGTTTTTTTTCTTCTGTCAGTTAATATGTTGCTTTTTTCCAATGTAACATTGTGGATTTGGCAATCCTACTGCCAACTATATCAGGGTTCAAAATTATCATTTACATGGACAATGTCATTACAGAATAAAGCTTTCTTCTTCATTTTGTAAATTCCTGTGACAAAAACGCTAGCTCCCTGCTGTTTACCTTTGAGATCAATAATTGAGTCATATCTGATGTTTCTTAGAGGCTGTTTCCTTTTAAGACTTAAGTGTTTGAAACTCCAAAATGGAACATATCTTTCAATGTGAATTATCTGCTCAAAATATGAGTAAACAAAATCCTGTTGACACTATACTATTTTGCTCGCTTGTCCGGGGAATGTGAGTCCATATGGATCATTATAAGTGTCAGTCAGGACTTACTTAAGAGACTTGAGGCTTCTGTTGCTTTTCAAAGCGTTTGCCAACTTCTTGGCTCCCTCCATCCCAACAGTGTTCCCACGTAGACTAAAACCATAGAAAATGTGTTATCATTGAGTATAAAACACAAAAGTTGTTATACAGAATTGACAGATTGTGTTGGAACTGGGAAATATTACATTTTCACAACTAGCAGCCTTCTGCTGGTTGTATCATATTAAACTAGAGAGGTTGAATAAAGAGTCCTCTGGCTTAAATTCAGTTCATACATGTAATGTGTTTACTCATACACACACATTATTAGAATATTATTGTGTTTGGTCTTTGAATTGTTATGGTATGTTTGTTTTCTTGTAAAAAGTGTTGGCAGTTAATGAATTAGCCTAGTTTGTATTATTCTGTGTTTGGTGTTTGAACTGTTATATTTTTGTTTTCTTGTAATAAGTCTTGGCAGTCAATAAAGTTCATTATTTTGATCACTTCCAATAACAAAGTAGCAGTTTGACACAAGACAGCATGGACTCACTCCAATGTTTGCAGGGTTTGGTTCATTGTAAGAGCGTCAGCCATTGCAATGGCGCCACTTGTGCCTGCTGAGACACCCTGGAGACTGAAAACAGCACACAAAATGATCAACATATGGAACAATAGCAGGCAACAACTGTCACAAAACCTAAAAATACGAAAAAACGTATAACATGTCCAAAAATGAATTATTTCCTCAGTTTTTAGATATTTGCTCTAGATGCTGAAACATTTTGAATCAATATTTCAAAAGGATTGCAATGCAAACCATAATGTACGCAGCGAGGCATTGGTCTTCAAGGCTTCAGCTAGAAAAATTACTCCTTCATTCCCAATAGCATTCTCCTGTAGACTGCAGCAAAAGACAAAGCGACAATATTGTGAATGACAAAACAAAAGCTTTTGCTGAAATTTCACATGTGCTCAGCTGCTGCCAAGGCAACAAACAATCAAAGTAAGCAGGTAGTCATTTTCTCACAGCCATATCAGCTAAGGCTTGTTGACATATAGCCTTGAATGTAAGGGAATCAATTTAATTGCAATTTGCAGGGTGAGAAAAAGTGGAAAAGAAGTAAGTGTAATGGGGATTGATAATTGGATGCTGATGAACGCAGGTGTCTGAACTATTGGCCTTACTCTAAGAGCTGCATTACAGTGTTGGAGGCGAGCGCATCAGCCAGAGCTTTTGTGGCAGAGGACTTGATGAAATTCCACTGAAGACTGTAAAAAGAGAGAGAGGAATTTAATTATGAAATTTGTAAAAAATAAAGGTTATAAAATGACTTGCAATTGAAGTCTATTATATTAATCCTAAATTAAAATGATTGACCTATTTCATTTCTTGTATTCTGAGTTCAGGGACCCTTCCTTTAGGAGCAAGGTCTGGACGTTGCAGTCTTGTAGTCTGTGGGTGCTTGCATCGGAATAAAAAAACCTTACTTACTGCAAAGATATGAGGCCTTGATTTAACTTGATTGCTCCAGCTATAGCTTGAACCCCTTCATCATGCAACAAGTTGGCTGTAAGGCTGAAAAACACATGCACAGAGAAAAAAAAACTCATGGAAATGACACACAGTAGATTTGACTCAAGGATCACAAAATTAAAAGTACAAGAGGTTAAGTGTTAGACTTTCATAGACTTCATCATGTGTAATTTCAGTCTTCCACTGCTAAGCACAACACACACTATGTCTGCTTTCATGCTGATAAAACATTTAGCTTTGAAGTTTAAAAATTCCACCTAATTTAATTTGGCAAATGTGATTATAGAAATTATCATAAAACTGGAGTAAATTCATACCATGAATGTGGAGGTGTGAATGTCACCATATTTATTTCAACAGCTACTGAGTTCTTACTGTAGATTTCCACAGAGAAATATCAGTTTTGAGGAGTGACATTTACTGAGCAGTTGATTATTTTTATGCCTCTGTGGGGCTTTAAACTAGACTACAACTCAGAAAAATGAGTTGACTCACTCAAGGTCCTGCAGAGAGTGGTTCTCACGGAGGGCGTATGCCATGTTCTTTGCTCCTTCCACTCCAATCGAGTTCTCCCTTAAACTTAACACATGGAAAAATACAAGTAAAGGGAAAAAAATTGGTAAGAAAACCTCAGACATATTGAATGGCTCCATTCATTTCAAGATCAGGATAAGCTTAAAAAAACTCCAATTATGTTGATTCAATATTAAGTTTTTAACAGTCTTTTTAAAAAATTGTCTAAGCCCAAGACAACCGATGTTTAAATGTCACAAGCTCTGCCCAAGGTCCTGGCTAATGCTAGTTCACCGGCTGTTTTTTTTTTAATATAAACTTTTATAAGGCAACTTTTCAGACAGCTGGAAGAAACTTTACAGCAAACTTTTGTCAGTTTACCTATTGCCTATTATGTGACACCAGAGATATATGGGTGGAATCCAATCATCCAGTTTTAAAAGGAATAAAAAAGAGGATTAACAGTTACTTTATACTTTATTTCAGACCCATAGGTCCATATCCTTATAAAAAAGCACAGATATATAAATACAGTTACTCTGGAGATGTTTTGTTACAGATGTCATTAATGGCTTTTGTTTTTCCTGGAAAGCTGTGGTAAAACTTAAACAAGCCTGATACTAACTTCAGAGAGAGAAGACCTCGGTTTGACCTCAGTGCCTTTGTTAAGGCTGTCATCCCCTTGTTGCTGATAGAGTTACTCTGCAGCCTGCCAAAAGAAAGAATGCAACTGTTATGTTCAAGACAACCTAAATAATTGTTTCATGGTCTGGGAACCAATGATAATAACCCACAGAGTTGAGTAAAATGTATTATTAAAAAATTGTATGCAGATAATATGGAGGCAGCAGTGCCTATGCAGAAGGTACAGTACTGACTGAAGTGAGAGCAAAGTGTGGTTGACTGTCAGAGCCTCTGCAAGAGCGATTGTTCCTTTGTCCCCCAGCTGGTTACTACAAAGACTGCAGAGAAAAACACAAATAGAATGGCCACTTAAAAGAAAAAAAATCCCAATGTTTCCCAATTACAGACACTGTAGTTTGAGGATAAGGTTAAGTCAAAAGTGAGTCTATGAAAGAGCTAGTTCTCATCTAGTACCAAAGTAAAGTAACATGTAAAAAGAAGGGCTACAGGTTAAGATAATGTATGCATGTAAAAACTAATTGAAGAGTACATCAGCTTTGTGAGCGTCAGGTTTGCCTTCAGTGCATCTGCAATCCTCTTGGCTCCTCCTGCTCCGATCATATTCTTCTGCAAACTGAATGGTTACATGGAGAAAGAAAAAAGTCCTAATTACACCGCATCTTCCAAGTGTGCACACACATGCTATAAAAATAGGACATGGTACATTCAGTTAAAGGTCAACAAAACTCACTTTAGAGACACCAGTTTGCGGTTGCACTGTAGTACTTCTGCAAGGGCCCGAGCACCTTCCTCCTCAATGGCATTGTTCTGAAAGCTAATTATGGGTTATGAAAATTGAGCCGTTACACCACCTGAAATGTTTTTCTGTAGGACATTTATGTACATAAACCAAAATCTATGACAATTATACTTACTTAACTGAAACCAGAACTTGGTTCATTTTAAGTGCCTCAGCCAGGAACTTTGCACCTTTAGAGCCGATGTTGTTGTTCCGGAGACTTAATTATAAATTGATGGTTTAAGTATGTACAGCAATAGAAAATGATAACAGAAACACTTTGTATCAATGATTATATAAGGGGTATAAAGATACAGAGGTTACACATAAATCTCACTTAAGTGACATCAGTGTCCGGTTCACCAAGAGGGCTCGACTCAGGGCTTTGGCTCCTTTGCTGCTGATGGCATTCTCTGCTAAACTGATGGGGTGAAAAAAAGCGGTATCAACCATAACAATTTTCATCAATGCACACATCCTAAAGCACATGAAAATTCCTTTACATGAGGTGCTGCAAAGAAAATGTTCTAACCTTATTTTTTGGATGTGGCAGTCCTTAGCACTCAGGAGGCTTCCAAGCAATTCCATGACATCATCTTTGAATTGATTACTCTCTAACCTGTGGAGTTGATGAAGTGTAAGTTTCACCCTTCAATCTTTTATCTGAGTTTGAGTTAATTTAGAGTTTTTGGAAGCTGACCTGAGATGGCTGCAGTACAGTAGCTGTGGGAGCAAACACTTCACTGTTGAGTAAGTCAAAGAGCCTGTTAAGTTGGTCTGTTCACTGCACTCTGGCGACACATGCAGCAGGTAGCCTAGCACGACACAGTGAGCCCTTGTTAACTTCCCTGCCAGACTGCGGAGTTGTAAACCCTCCTCTACACTCCGCAGCAGCTCTGTATGTTGCAGCTCCTGTAAACAATAAGCCAGGTTGACTGCTCGCAGGGATACCACAGCACCCCCGTTGACCAAAAGGCCTTGTAAAAACCCTGCTGCCCAAGCCTTCTGATTGCCATCATCCTTCCCAAGGGCCAGAAGGCCAGCAAGAGGTTTGACTACCCCTGAGGACAGCAGGCCTGTCAGGAAGCGCACAAACACATCCAAGTGCCCATCTTCAGCTTGTTGCGAGTGCTGCAAGGCACTCCTAAAGTGGTTCTGAAAACCGATCTTGGGCCAAGACATGGTGCTCTCTGAGAATAAATCGAAGATGGCCCGCTTGGAGGAGACATGGTAGAAAGTAGCTGCAAGAAACTCCTGCAAAGTCAAATGGGTAAACCTGAATGTTGTGTAAATGACAGATTCCTCTCTGACAAGAACTCCAGCACCAAGACTACATTGAGTTAGCAGTGGATCTATCCCATAGGCTCTGAGGTCCTGCTCACTGAAGGTGTACTTGTGTTTCAGGAGACCATAAAATGCAAGTCGCCCAAGGTTGCCCAGCAGTTTACGATTGCCACCATGAAGCTGCTCTATTTTTACAGGCTCCCTTCCTCTTGGTTCACCCACTTCCGCCTTCATAGAACAGAAGTGAGCAAACAGCTCAGTAAAAGTTCTTGGAAGGCTCTCTTGTGTTCCACTCTGCATAATGTACATCAGAGTATCAGCTACTATCCAGCAGATTCCAGGTATGTAGCACATCACCATCAAGATGTTGTGGGACTCCAAATGCGGCCATATTTTATTGGCATATTCCTTTTCAGAGAAGTGATGGTCAAGGAAGAGCTGAATATCCTTCTGGCTGAATCCTGGGATCTCGGTCACTCTGTCAACTAATCCTCCAGGGATAAGGGAGGCCACTCCTGGCCTTGCTGTTACCCACACTGCTACATCAGGAAGCAGATTCCCTCGAATGAGGTTTGTTACTAAGTCATCAATGGAAACCTCTTTCTTTGGGTCGTTACAGGATGCTGCATCAGAGAAATTTAAAGTGCAGCGGAATTCATCCAAACCATCCAGTATGAACAGTGTGCGACAGGAGCTGCTCAAGACCAGACTGGGGTCTGTTAAATGAGGGAAGGCCATTTTCACCAGCCTCTCTGCAGACAGTTTCTCCAATGAGTTGAGCTCACAAAAAGTGAAAGGCAAGATGAAGCTCACATCTGTATAGTAGGCCCCCTGGCACCACTGTCTGACGAAGTGTCGGACCCAGGTAGTCTTTCCAATACCTGCAACGCCAACTGTGACTGAGACTCTGGGAGGTAAACTAACACGAGTCAGGGGCTCCAGGAGTTTAGCCAGCCCCAACTGTCTGAGGTGATTTCTTTTCCCTCCTCGAGTCACCCCCACCTGCATTAAGTCATGTTCCTTTTGCTGAAGGTCAGAGAGTCCATCAACTAGAAGTAAGTTTCTTGAGGAGATGTTCAACTTGGGGCAGCTAACTGAATCTCTGTCTCTGTGCTGTTCGTATTGTCTTAACAGCACCTCTTTGTGCTCTTTCACCATGGAATCTGTAGAAAATGAAAATAGTCAGGTTTTAAAGTTTGGTTTCTGAGGTTTTCATGGAAATTTATGGCATTCATGGTTTTTAAATTCTCCATCAGGAGCCCTTTTGGGCTTAATGTGTTGGTGGATGGGACTTTGATGTAAAGCTAAGAGAACTTAGGATTCAAACCACATTCTGTTTAATAGAGGGTTTGCACTACACCCCCAGCTGCCATATGCTTAACTTTCTCTTGTCTTTTTTGGGCATCACAAACACAAAAAGAAATCCCATTTCAAGTTCCTTACCGTGGTTTATGATGAGCTGGGCCGGCAGAGAGTCTGAGCTCTCTATGAAGCCTCGGAAGGCATCAGTCCCTTGACTGTCCTTTCCAGATATAATGGTTGTGAGCATGATAACCTGGTCCTGAAGCTGGCCTGCTTCCTTGATCTTGGTTTCCTCAGTTGCAGTCAGCACTTCAACCCTTCTCAGGTGGGTTACGATCCCATCCAAGAAGGACGTGGTAATAAATCTTTGCAGCTGTTCTTGATGCTTTTGGATCCAACAAAGATCTAAACCAAAACATAGCACATGGAAATCACAGAGACCAGCTAGAACTGTTGGAGGTTAATTGAGGGACAAATGTTGTTAGTTCTCAGTGTGTTCAACAGAGGACTATAATTCCTCAGAGGGCTTGGGATTAGTCCCTCTGATTCACATATCCAGAATAATCAACAATGTAAAAAGCCAAAGAACAGAGCTACAGAACATACAAAATCACAATGATTAAGGAACATTCATACACAAAACAAACTACATTAAAGTACTGAAGTCTATTACTTTATTTAACCCTGGATTTACTGTGGCCTTCACTTGATATATAGGTTTCTCTCTGTAATTAAACTTGAAGTCTGTTGCCACCTCTAATGTTCTTTCTGATAAGTTCTAAGCCTCAGAATCTATTGAATTTTCTCTTACCTGCTAACTTGGTTTTTAATTAGCAATCTTTAACTTTTGAAAAGGACAGCCTATAAGAAAGTCCTGTGTAATTCTGCACTGATCACCTTCTAATAACTGCCACTGTCTGTATTTCTTCTTCCTCTTCATCATACTGCATCATACTGTTTTCCATCTAACATTTCTCTAGTTTAAGTACAAGTCACAAAAAAATCTATTCTCACTTTGGTTGCTACAGCCATTTCAAGTCTTGTTAACAACGCTGCTCTGTCGTGTGCAGCCACTGTTCTTAGGGGTGTCATAATGCTGTCATAATTAATTAATAGCAAATATGCATTTATATTATATCTAAGTCTTTTTTTCATTTAGCCTACATAGTCAGTATTTTATGTAAACCCTTCTGTGAAAAAAAGACTAGTTGTCTGGGCCTGCCCATAAAAATCAAATGCTTGGTCAGTTACTTTTGTCTAGTATCAGGACTGTGGAGGGGGCGTGGACATTTCTCCACCTCCAATGACAGAAAAAGTTTAAGAACCACTGTTCTATACTAAGACCCTTGACTTGGATAAAGAATAATTCACTTTTTCTTTTTAACAGGAGTGGTCAATTTACAAGAAAACAAAACATGTTATAGATATTCTGGGTACATATCTGTTGACTCTTCCTTGAACGCAACAGTCAAATTTGTCACTTTTTGTGTGCTTTATCATACCATCAATGGAATAGTGATAAATATGGATGTATTTTATGTCAACATAGGAATTATTTACTAAAATTAAAGTTTCTGCCAAAAATCAGAAAAACTATGGACATTCCCATCAGCTTCATGTGTAGACTGTGTTTGTGCTAACTACTGTGGCTGTTGTAAGCAGACTAAAAACTAAACTGAGATGACTAGCTTGGGGAAACATTGTTTTTCTAAGGATATTAGCATGCTTATGTAAGCATTAAACTCAAGGAACCTAGGGGCTTCAGGCAGCCTCACAGGCGCCAGGCAAGGGCACAATACTCTCATACCAATTAAATAGATTTCTAATTACCATGCTGCAGCCTAAACATTATTATGTCCGATATTCATTCTAAATTCATCCTCATGAAGGAAATAATGTGTTATACACCGTCTGCTGCCTTAACCTAATGCGTATTGATGTTGAGCTTGCAATCAATAATAATAATCAATGATGTTTTCTGAGCTCATATTCTTCTCAAAGGAGCACAAAGACACTAATGCATGTAAACAACAGTATTACAACCTAGAAATAAGACAGTAGACGGCAAATGTTATCCTCAGTTTTTTTTTTGTGGCGCTTTTATAACTTAAAAAAGCATTTTTGCTCATCAATATATTATATAATATTATTTGTGTTCTGTGCATTGCATTGTGCATATCCCCATTAAACATAGAAGGGTTGTATTAAGACATCAAAGGCAAAAAAATTTGTCTACCCCAAGTCCTGGATTTTCTTACAGTTCTTTTTCTTTCTTTTTTAAGAAACTCCAAAAAGCCAAATTAATCAGCTGCAGAGACCTTTATGTCAACACCTCTGCACAGTAATGACATGTCATTAATTCCAGCCTGCGTTGAGCTTTCCGCAGCAATTATCATCAACACTTGTAAAACATATACTTTCAACATGGTCCTGAACAGAAGAGTGCCCACATGTCTCCATGACTCCGAGCCTTTCAAAATTTCACTTAACATCTTATAATTTAGCCATGACGATTTCAGACCAGGCAATTTCATCTCTCAAAAACATGCAGGTAGTTTTTGAAAATCAAATTCTCACAAATGTTTTTTCTAACAGAGAATTTTCAATTAAAGCTTTCACAATCTGAGAAAAGAAGTATCTGCCAGAAAAGTGACACCAAAATTTCTTCAATCTCCTTGGGATATCCAGACTCTCCATCCTCTGTGACTAAATGAAGATACACTGCTTGGCAATACAAACAGGCACATGTCCAAATAAGAGTTTCATAAATCTTTCCAACTGTTTTCTTTTGTGTTATTTTCTGTGGCAGTCTTACAAAGAGATCAAAGTAACTTCAAACATCTTGCACAACTATCAGGACTCCCCCCAGGAAACAGATATGGTGACGTGATTATGTCGTAGATCGTTATTGGTTGTAACTGGGCAACAGTCACAAACAATCGCTTCAAACATGAAATGCATGATAGCAGCCTTCGTCAATATTAATCTTAAACATAAAAATGTAGTGTATGCAGTGCATGTCTTTCTAACATAGAAGTGTAAAGCGCAGCTGGATTTGGAAACTTTAAGTATAAACATGATCTGAATGTAATTCTCTGAAAACAAGTAGATGAATAAATCCTGCATCAACAATTAAACATATTGCATATTGCAATTGAATATATTGCACCACTTTGGTCTTTGAACATTTAAACATTAATATCCTGCTCATTTGAGATGTTCCTAAACTAAACCACCCCTCTTCTTTTGTTCCATTTATTATCCCCTCAGGTCCTCTGCTGTAGATGTTTCTTACATTTTTCATACATTGGCTCAAAATCAGCTCTAAGTGTCACCTTATGCTGCCTGCCTCTACAAATTCCATCTCTTTAAAGATAGAAAAAAAGTCTTCAACAAGTATTGGACAAGATTTTTTTCATCGGATTTCTTTCATCTTATGTCATTAAAGCTCCTGTTGTGAGTCTGATAAGGCTCTTCAATCTGGGTTCACAGTCATAATGAGAAGAGCAGAAAATTAATATCATTGGATTTAATGTGGAAGATAAAGTCAAAGGTCTGAAGTTGAATCAGAACTGAACATTGATCTTCCCAAATGTAGGTCTGCACATCAAAGAGAAAGAGGCAGCTGTCTATTTCCTTCATTACATTTCCCTTTAATGAAACTGTTACTAGAACTGATACATATTCATGTTCTTCAGACTGTCCTAATCCCAGGCTGTGTGTCTTTACGATCATCGCCTTCAATTTAAATTGTTTTTTTTTTTTTTATAAGAAAGACTAAAGGGGTAGAGAGTTCTTCAACCAGGAATAGGCTGAGTGTATATCAGAAATGTGATGAATCTGTCAAATCCCACCTTTATTTTCAGTTTGTGAAGCGAGTGAAGAAGACGTAGTTTGAAGATCCATGTAGCAGTCGTCCTGCCACATAATACGTTTGCTTCGGTCCAGGATAGAATCGTAAAGTTCCCTCCTCTCCATGAGAAAGTTTCACAGGTTCTGCCCTCAGACTTTCCTGTTTGTGGATCTACACACACAAAAAAACTGCATTATTGAGACGTCTATGCAACAATAAACTAGACATGACAATCTTCATAAAGTCACTGAGGTCTCAATATTTCTCAAAGACATCTTCCATTGTGTAATGTGCACTCCAAATGTCAACTTAATATATTGCGTAAGTCAGGCATTAATGATTCAGTATGTAAAAAATCAAACAGATGAAACTGCAGCATATGGAGCAACTTCAGCTTTCACAGATATTAGGATCTATTCTGATCCTCAGTGAGGCAGGTCTGATAAACAGAAGTGCCTTTAGATGTATTCATTCGAGTCTATCTTCATTCACAGACATGACATGCACTTTGGATGAAATAAACCTCAGCATTGTACTTCTTATCAGAGAAGACATGACTGCTCTTTGAATGTCTCTTTTAGAATGCAGCTGCATCTCTTACATATTCCTCTCCATTGCTGTCGCCTATTGGATGTGTGTATGTGTGTAATAGGTGAATATCGCATGAAAACATTCACCTGGACATAGGCCGTAATCACAGCTGAATGCAGCATGACAAAAGGACACAGATTAATCGGGGCAAAGAATTGAGAATCAACCCGATGGGATATATTCTCTCTTAAGAAACTGGATTTTTTTTGCAGTTCTGCATTGACTTCATTTGTCAACATGAGGTTGTCGCTTGAGAACAACACTAGTGGTTAGCGCGCACACCCCATGTGTGGAGGCTGTAGTCCTAAAAGTGGGCGGCCTAAATTCGACCTGTGGCTACTTTCAGGCATGTCTTTCACCGATCCCTCTCTCTCGCCATTATTTCTGGACTCTATCCACTGTCCTGTCTCTACATGAAGGAATAAGGAAAAGCCCCCCAAAAAACATGCCCACAGGGAACAACATTTGCAAACCACAATGTGCAACCATTTGTTCAAACACTAATGATCTAGCTGAAAACAACTTCATGTCTCTGTGTCTCTGTTCTCTTTTTTTGAGAGAGAGGAAACTGGTCAACTGCCAGCTGACAAAAGTGATTAAGAGGTATCTCTGGGTTTTAAGATGTAAGCATTGAGCCATTAGTAGTTCTTCCGGTACTTATTAGACCTCTGATGTAAATGGTGCACTATCGAGGTGCTTCAATCAATAAAAGTCTGTCCCCACTCTACAAAGAGGTTTAATGAGGTGAAAGAATAGCAGGGCCTAGACCAGGGGTGCCCAAACAGTCGATCGCGATCGACGGGTAGATCGCTGACTGATTCTCAGTCGATCGCGAGATGTTTAGTCAATATAAAATACAATTGTAAAATAGAAAAGTGATTTCAATTTCATCTCATTGCAGTTTTTCCCACACACGATACCTGTGTTGGGAGCCCAAGTATACTTCCGACCTGTTTGTATTTAATTTTTCATTTATTCATGAAAATGCTGCGTGCACGAGAGAGCGAGCGAGCGAGCGAGCGAGAGAGAGAGAGTGCAGGCATGCGCAATGACGTGCAGGTAAAACCGGGGGGGGGGTAAATGTTTTACCAAAAAGTCATATATAGAAACTATGCTACGAGTATTAAGCGCATTTGATGAAGCTGCAGCTACTTTTCTCTGCTCCTCTCTGCTGTCATGACTGTGAGCATGGCGGGGGACGAGACACACCAACAAACAGCGCAAACGCAAACGCACACGCGCGCGCACACACACACACACACACACACACACACACACACACACACACACACACACACACACACACACACACACACACACACACACACACACACACACACAGGAGCGCCAGCCACCACGCGAACCTTTTTACTTTTTACTTTTAGTGCTGCAGCACACAGTTGATCCGTGATCTTTACGGACCGAGGCGGGAACACACGTGATCCGGTCAAACGGTCGGTTGGACTTTACTCTGTTCACTCTCACCGTGTCTGCAGCTAATTTAACAAAAGCAACATCATCTCACAGCAGCCTGCTGTAGTCTGTGAACATCTCCACACAGATTAAAGTTGTTTGTTGAAAACTAAATTAAGGGAAAAACATATGTGATATAAATACAAACTTGATATTAAATTGTAGCCTACCCTAAAATAAGAGTTTAAAAAAAAGTATGTCGATATTGCATTATTTTTTACAGAACTCTCATTTATTATTTTCTGTTTGTTGTGTGAGTATTAAATGCGTTTGTAGGCTGTTGGTAAAGGCTATGGCTCACTATGTGGACTGGTAGATCTCGGCAGACTGGTAACTTTAAAAGTAGATCTTGGTTCAAAAAAGGTTGGGCACCCCTGGCCTAGACCTTTGAGGTGCTTTTCATGGTTTGTTTTCAACCTTGATTAAAATTACACTAATGACTTGCACAAGGATGAGGGAGGTTGTTACAGACCAATGCTGGCTCACAATGCCAGTCTCTGAAAATATCAGGGCTGGGTTGTGCTGATATTATCTGGAAAATGTCAACAGCTTATGTTTGAAAAGGGCTTTTGATGCTGCAAAAGTGAACTAAACCTTACTGTATTTCATTTTAGGATTACATTGATTTCTTCTTTAACTTGTTTAATATGATGTTTTCAACCTAGCTACAGACAAGGTTAATAAATTAGGTTAATTTTTAGTCATTTAGCACATAATCTTAAATAAGAACGGTAGTGAAAGTGCTGCAAATAGTAGTTTGAATTATGTTTGAGTGTTCACCTAGACAGACGGGAAATGGTGAATACTTCCTGTGTGGTTTGTTGCTGATCACGTAATATCTCACAGAGGAAGCTGATACAAGAACTTAGGATGTACTCGAGACAAGTTGCCCGGGTGTGCAGTTAAAAAAGTATGTTGTCAAAATGCCAAAACCACGTCAGAACACACCAGTGTCAGTGTGTTGGGGAGGGTGACCAACTGTTGCTGAAAGTTGTTAAACACTAATGCCCATTTACTACAGAAATGCAAGTCTGTAAAATACCAGTTATAAACATAAACACACGCAGCAGTATCATCTCCATCCTGCAGGCAAACCACCTGCTATGCAGATGAAACATCAGGTAAGAGACCGGGATAGGTCAGATGTGTTTTTTGGCTCACAGAAAAGTAATTAAATTTGCACTGACTCTGGAGATAAACACTCAAAGCCATCACAGAAAGTTAATCCATGATTAAGAATAGACAACGTTTAGCTGTGAAGTGAAACATGTTAAAGAGTAAAATATAAAACTCGGGTAACTCACCATTGGTTTTCTTGAACTTCTCTGTGGGTATTAAATGATGTAAAAAGCTGCTTGAACAGATGTTTGGTATGGAAACACCATCATTTCCCACGAGAGCAGCTATAGTGTAATTTTGAAATGACACTCAGACCAATTTTTGACGAGTCAAATCCGGTGGAGGACTAGCGAGCGAATGAAACGAGTGACAAAAAGCAGAGCACTTTTTAGTCATCATTCGTTTGCACTGTGGTATCGGATGCAGTTTCATGCAGGGCTCCTTCCGGTCTGATCTGTCTTCCTGTGTTGTGGTGCGCAGGTTGAACAGTGAAGAAAAAAAACAAAAAAAACTTCAGCTTTGTTCTTGAGCAAGCAGTGTGGCATTGTCAGAGACCTGAAGCTTTTTACCATGCCCCAACGTTTTCCTGCAGAGACATCAGACACCTCATGATTACTAAAAATGCATCAGAAAGTTCTTGTTCAGGGAGATGAATGTAGGGTTTCTGGTCTGATTATAGTTAAAAGCTAAGATAGGCATAAGTTAATGTAAGCAAGAAGTCCATAAGTACACTCGGCAGACACAAGCAGAATCTCTGCTCTATTCATAGATAACCATCAACAAACATACACAAAGGTAAGCTGTAGAAAGACAGGGTGAGGGTCTATGATGAATACAATACTTGAGAACTAAGTGCAGGATGTAAATGTAGAGGATGTAATCAAAGAGTAGTAATCCACACAACTATGGAAGCGATTAGTGATCAGAATTCAAATGATAAAGCTAATTTGAAAATTCAATGGCATTAACAGAAATGCTTTTTAATTTTCAGAATATGAGTGTATTATTTGACTCAAAAATAAAATGATGATTCATTTATCTAATTTGAATTTTAGTTTTCAACTTCAAAAATGCACATACTTTGACTAAATTAAAATGAGGAAGAAAATTACATTTGCTTTATCTTTTCTGTTAATGCATTTGAATTTCCAAATTAGCTTTATCATTTGAGTTTTGATCACTAATCGCTTCCATACACAATAGGTTGAATGATAAACCAAAGAACACGTCCATGGAAGTATTTTATTTCAAAACACCTGCTACATGTGCGTAACGTCGGACAAAAAACAAACAAACTGGAAAGCAAACTCCAGAAAGAAAGCTTATAAATTACAACCAGGGGACGCAGACGATGCAATGTTTGCTTTCTTTGAATGTCCAGTGTCTATGTTCTCCGTCGTAGACCATGAATATATATATAAGCATGAAAACGTTTGAGTTTCTGGTCTCTCTAGAGTTACATTTGAAGGAAGAATGTGCGACTTTTTGATCCTGTAGATGTCACCCTCGAGCACCAGCATTAAAACCAAAACAAACTGCTGCTTGGCAACACCTCGGCCACACTGAATACCTCCGCTCTCCCGACCTCCAACCCACCCTCCACACGCGTTCACACGGATGAGTTAAGTACAAGCGGTGGACAAAATTGTCCTTGGCTCAAGCAGTTTCAGTTTCTTCCCCCAGGCTGTCACTCTGATGAACGCTAAACAGTCACAGTGTCAGACCTGTCGCGGTGAAATGACTCTAAACCAACCGTCACTGTGAATATACATATATGTATATATATATTATTTAATTTAAATGATAATACACGCACACTTATTTATGTAAATACTGTAATTGACATCTTAATTGACCCATCTGTCACATAACTGCATTTTACTTGTCATGTTACTTCAGCATCTTTTGCACTATTCACCACTGCACTGTTTCATATTTAGTCATGTAAATATTAGTCTTTTCTTACTATGTTTATTGTTGATATTTAATGTTGTACCTGTACATAAGAGAGTACACTTCACCTAAGTTAAATTACTTGTGTGTGTAAGAATACCTGGACAATAAATCTGATTCTGATTGAGTTGCAATCACCTGTGTCCTGCATTGTTGTGTAAGCATGCTAATGTTAGCGCTTTAGTTAGCTTGTAGCTTCACATTGCATATAAATAGACACAGAATGAGCGTGATCTAAAAAAGCTTACATGACATTCATATAAGCAGCAAGTACTTTATTCTTCTTTCTCTGGTCTTTGACTAAAACAGGATTCATACATGAGGAGAAGAGCCAACCGTCCCGTCCATGTAAACATGTAAACACAGCCCCGACAACAACACAGCCAGCAGGACTTGCACTTCTCACTCACTGAAGACAGTCATGACTCAGAGACAATTACATAAGATATACTTCACTTCTGCTTTGTTTGTGTAAAATGTTGCACATTCTTCCTCTAAATGGTGCTGTAGCTCTTTCAACTGTGGTTATAAAAAAAGTTCTGTGTTCAGCCATAAAATAATATTCTACTTTTACGATTGGTGTCGTTGCACGTCATGCATATGGTTATCAATTGAAATCCTGCATTGAGTACAAGCGGTAAATGAAAATGTGTTCAGGGTTGTTCCAGCTTCTTAAGGGTCAAACATAGTTCACTTTTTATTTTTTTTACAAGTGTTAACCCATTTGCATAATCTACATTGTATTTGGGTTGAAACTCGGAGGACAAATTGCCTCTTTTCTGCCTTCTATTTATAACTTTATACACGCATTATCTTACTCAAAGAATAAACAAGATTACAACACAAGACATTTCATGAACATCACTTTAAACATGTCTGTGAACTTTAACAGCTAAACAGAAGACTTTTTTATGAAACAGCTGGTTTACTTCTATTTTTAAACAAGGTTGAACTAGCTGCAAAAGAAAACCGGGTATAGAGGGTTAATTTGCTATAGAGTGCTGTGTTAATTAACATCAATATTTAAAACATTTAAACAGGACAAATGGCTCTGAGGGAATACATTTGCTCACCAGGGCAATTAAAGCAAGCTCACTAAAAGCCTGCAGCTCAGCAGATGAGTAAGGCAGCAGTGAAAAGTCATCAGCACATCCACTCTATTACAAAATGAGGAGATCCTTACGAGTTTATTTCATGGCACTTCATACTGGTGATTTTTTTTTACAATCTTTGAAAAAAGTGGAATTAAACCAATCAAAATATTAAATCTATTTCCCATACCACAACCATTTTCTATATTTCTTTGTAAGAAAATAAAGAAATCACTTGACATTTGAAGTCAACGCTCCTCTCCTTCGAGAAGCATCACCTCTGTAGTATTTACACTGATGTCTGTATTCAGCTGTACTGTCCTCCGTCTAAATCCAGGGATCAGCTGATCAAACAACACAAAGGCAAAGTAGAGGATTCTGAGCCATTTAAAAAAGTGAAACATAAAACAGCTCTGATTTTTTTTTTTACAGTCTCTCATTTCAAAAGTCAAATACTCTTCATTTAAAAAAAACACTTCATCAGTCTCTGACATCTCTTTTTTCTGATTTTCTTTGAAGAAAATGTAAACAGTTTGTTTTTAGTGCGCACACAACAGTGGTTACAGACAGTCGTCAGAAGATTTTCACATTTAAAGACAGTCAGGCCCTTGGAGTGATCAGATTTGACAGCATGTAGCAGGAAAAACAAAGCACAACGTCGACCATGTTGAAGAGTAAATGTGAGCGTGGCAAATATTGTCAGTGTTAAAACACTTGTGTTCCAGCTGATAATGCCATGTTAAACTGATATAGCTTACTGCATACATCTAAAGAAAGGCTGTTCTACATTTAAAATGCTGTTTTTTCCACAGTAACAAGAACAAGTCAACAAAAATGATCATGTAGGACTCAAGTATTTAAGACAAAAATGCTCCCCTTTTCTCTGTCCTCTTCTTTAAAAGAAGTAACCACAACTGTTCACAGGCACTGACATTAAAGGGAAAAAAAGAAAATATATATAGTTTTTATAATTCTTCTCTTGGGTTGTCTCATTTGATGACTTTGTGTCACAGAGAAGGACACTTGTGGTGGCACTCATTTTGAAACAACCCATAACCAACTGGAGTAAACAAATCTCTTATTACCCCCGTCTCTCCATCTCTCTGCTGAAGTCCTCCCACGCACAAGAGCACTTCCAGGTGCAAACACAGTGTTTCAAAGCCAGGATTATAGATCTGACAGTCCCTCTGCGTGCTCACTCAGCTCCATGGTGTAATAGTCCAGAGGACGCCTGAGAACAGAGGCAGAGGAAAGAATATATAGCACCTTAAGAGATATACACATTGCAATTAGTTTCCAGTAGCTAATGTTCAAAGTTATAAGTTTTAGCTTCTGGTTGTTCCCACTGTGTGCTCTAAACACATTCAACCTTTATTTATACTCTAAAGATCATTGAGGGGCAACCCTCATTTACAATGACATTGAGTCATTACAGAAATAATTAGAAAACAGACATTAAATCAAAAAGAAAAACAGGGGACAGATAATACAAGACTGCTAAAATCAGTCTACAAAAGTATAAAATGTATTGAGTACAAAACTGCAAAAAAAACCCACTTATGTAAAACAGTTACAAACAGAGGTTGGGAGGCTTAAAATCAGGTTTCTAAAACATATCTCTAATTAAGTCTGTGATCTGCTTTATTTCCCACAGCACAGTCTTGAACAGCTCGTTTTTTTATTTCTTGCACAAACACATGAATGGAGTGATGGGGATAAATATTAAGAAACATTTTTTCCACAGAAAAAGAAGAGATGGTTGGATAATAAGGGATGGTGTTGAAATCTCTGTCTCCACTGTGGACTTCCTTTTTTTTTTCAGTTGAAAATGTTAAGACGAGACACTAAGCACTGAGGTCATAGCAGCAGTCTGACACCAAAACCTGATATTTACTGATGACATTTCACACAATGTGCTGTTCTCAGGCGGAAACTGTGACTGAAACTTGAATTAAAAAAAACAAAAAACGGAGAGAATCCATTTTTAAATGTACACCATCTCTTGTCTAGTTGGCCAATTTTCAAACCCTTATAACTTCTTCTGTTCCTTTTCAAATCCATATTAAACTGTTTTCTTTAACTGTACACAAACAGAACATGCAAACATTGGAGTTGCATTACTGGAGAAATGACACCAGATCAAGTTCCATACTTTAGTCTGCACTGGGACTTGAACCAGCGTCCTTCTGGGTCTATTTTCTCCAACAAGTACTTCAATGCCACAGACTGCTGCTTTGTAATTTCCGCCTGAAACACGTCTTTTCTAAATGATCTGTGTTCCGCCCTCGTTAAAGAGTCCCCTTCCTCAACTAGACAGACAGATAACTCCTTCCACATTCCGTAGTCAATAAATGTTGATTTATTTGCGTGCCACCGTTATTCTTTGACAGAATGCAAAATGGAGTAAAACTGTAATAAAGTAAAAAGAAACCATCAGTTATGATACACATGATCAATAAACATATCTGTGTAGTATAACATGCTTGTCAATGTCAATCAAATTAACAGTATCTGACTGAAAATATATCTGACCGAAAACTATCACCTAGCAAACAAGGTATACTGCAGAACACAAAAATCATGGTCTAACATAGCCATCTGCATAAAATGAAAGCATGGTTGTGAAAAGAAACATCTTAATCACACTTTACTCACAGACAATGATTATACAGTTCCTTCCTAGTCCAGGATGGATTTAGATCCTTCATAAGGCAAGTGTCCACAACATGCTCTTATCAATGAATGAGAAACCCAAAACGGCCTCCTACAGTGAGCCATGAGGTCCAAAAAACTCAACAACAAATGTAGCACCCCCTAGTGGCTGCAAGGTGACCTACAGCTCCTTGCTTAGGCCAGAACACTCCCCGCCTGGTATCTAAAAGGATGCCACCACAACTGTACAATGCACACTAACACAAACCAACTACAATGTCTCTGGGGAGAGGAGTAGAACAGTCTCTGAGACAGGGCGTAGAAAGGTCTTGAATGAACCATCGTTTGCTGTCTTGATTTCCACCTTCCTCACCTGCTCCTTCCTGAATCGCAGTAATACCCCAAGCAGACTGTTGTTCATGTTAGGGCCAGTGAGGAGGACATCATTAAGGGACACGCCACAATGTTGGGCACTGGAGTCAAATACCACCCTTATTTGACCAGGATTCTGTGGATGGTATACTCCAAAGTGAGGTAGGTACCAGCACTCTTCTTCTGGTTGTAAGGGTGGAGCAACTTCTGCGTGTCCGTTCTTAAAGATCTTATTCATGAATTGAATGTAATGTTCCTTCCTCTCTGTATGTTTCCTCAATGTGCGGGTCACTGAAGTGAGGCGATTCCTTGCCTGTTCGCGATAGTTAGGAAGGCGTTGTCGTGGACTCCGAAAAGGAAGTGAAGCGACCCAGCTATTGGATTCATCCTGATGACATTCACTATCCATAATCCTCAGAAAGGCAAGATCCTCCATAGAAGGCGCAGTCTTGTCATCATCCTTTGTGGAGCAGAATACAGACTCTCCCACAAGACCCATTAAGTCTGTCAGAGGGGCCCCATTTTCTTTCTGGGTGATAAAGGAATTCTGAGACTGGTGGTTGTAACTGAACCCCTCCTCGACTCTGATTTTGTTTGGGCAAGGACTCATCAGGATTGGGCGTCCATTCTCAAGAATGTTTGTTCTGAAGGTGTTCACAGATAAAGGTTTGTGCGCACCATCAAGGCAGACCTCTCCTACTATCACCCAACCAAGAGCTAACCGTTGTGCAAAGGGAGCTAAAAGAGGCCCATTTTGTTGTTCATGAACCTTGTGCACCTGAATTATATCCCTTCCTAAGAGAAGCAAAATATTGGCCTTGGGGTCAAGAGGGGGTATCTCAGTAGCTAGGGACTTCAGGTGAGAATGGTACCTAGCAGCTCCTGGAGTGGGGATTTCAGCCCTATTATCAGGTAGCTGGTCACACTCGATGAGTGTGGGGAGGGTAAGACTGGTCTTCTCATCTGCAGATTCTACAATGCTCTCCGGCCTGCAGTCTCTGACACACCTGCACACGTTCTGAGTGTGTAAGGGGAGGTGTCATCAACTATGTCAAACATCTTGAAAAAGGCTGATCTGGCCAAAGACCTGCTGCTTTGGTCGTCTAGAATGGCATATACCTTGGTTTTCCTCTCTGGCTGACCCTTTGGGTATAAGTAAACTAGGCAGATTTTGGAATAAGATTTCCCTATTGTGCTGCCTCCACAGACCTCTGTGCAGGTTGACGTAGTGATTAGAGAAGAGTGAGCTTCCTCTGCCTCCCCGCCATGCTGTTCAGAGGGGTTAAGCTGTGGTTTAGTGGACCAGGGTGCTGGGCCGGCGTGAAGAGTTGCAATGTGCTTCTCACTGCTGCACTCAGAACACTGTAACTGCTTTGCAGTCCCTTGCTTGGTGCGAAGTTGAGGAACAGCAACGAAAACATATCCCGTTTTCTCTAAGGAAGGTTTTTCGTTCCTCCAGGGGCTTCACTCTGAAGACTCTGCACCTCTGCAGGGGGTGGGGCTTCTTATGAATAGGACATTGCTTCTTAAGGTTGTCCAATCCATTGGCTTCAACTTTCTCTTGAGTATTCTCCACTTCTGTTCTGTGTACAGCTACAGATGTTCTTAAAGATTTCAGAGGGAATCTCTCTCCCTGGAGTCTCTCTCCCTTATGTGGTGGGATACTTGAGTTTGCGGTGACGAAACTTGGGTCGTTCCTCATCCTCGCCTCTTCACGAATGAAGCAAGAGAAGACGGAAAACGGTGGGAAGGTTATGTGGTTTTGTTGTTTGTACCTTGTCCCATGTACCATCCATTTTTCCTGAAGGCTGAATGGTAGTTTCTCCAAGATAGGGTGAATGCCACATGCTCTATCTAGGTAGGACAGTGCTGGTAAGTAACCCTCCTCTTTGGCTGCTTCCACTTCAAGGACCAGATCACCTAACTCTCAGGCGTTGTGAGTCTCTTTGAGAGACCTTGGGAAAATATTCAAGCTTGTTAAAGAGAGCAGTCTCCATTGCCTCAAGGCGTGTCTCCTCTACATTTAGTTGAGCCCTTTTTACTTTCATTTCAATTTCCCTTCGTGCGTAGGATGCTCTGGTACGTGCTGCTTCAGCTTTGGCCCGGGCTCTTACCGCAGCCAAGCTTGTTGCAAACTTACCAGAGTGTTTTGATGAGCCTGAGCAGACTGATCTGGTCTCATGGCCTCCCCTTTCTGCAGCTGGCATCTTGTCTTTCAAAGATCTAGGGGTTGAGCCGTACTGATCTGTTATCCACCAAGGTTGAAATCACTGTAAAGTCTGTCTTTTTACTGTTCCGCCCTCATTAAAGAGTCCCCTTCCTCAACTAGACAGACAGATAACTCCTTCCACATTCCGTAGTCAATAAATGTTGATTTATTTGCGTGCCACCGTTATTCATTGACAGAATGCAAAATGGAGTAAAACTGTAATAAAGTAAAAAGAAACCATCAGTTATGATACACATGATCAATAAACATATCTGTGTAGTATAACATGCTTGTCAATGTCAATCAAATTAACAGTATGTGACTGAAAATATATCTGACCGAAAAACTATCACCTAGCGAACAAGGTATACTGCAGAACACAAAAATCATGGTCTAACATAGCCATCTGCATAAAATGAAAGCATGGTTGTGAAAAGAAACATCTTAATCACACTTTACTCACAGACAATGATTATACAGTTCCTTCCTAGTCCAGGATGGATTTAGATCCTTCATAAGGCAAGTGTCCACAACATGCTCTTATCAATGAATGAGAAACCCAAAGTGGCCTCCTACAGTGAGCCATGAGGTCCAAAAAACTCAACAACAAATGTAGCACCCCCTAGAGGCTGCAAGATGACCTACAGCTCCTTGCTTAGGCCAGAACAATCTGAGCACTTATCACAGTGGATCAGGGAAAAGAAAGCTGTAAAAGCATACCAACTTAATAACACATTTTTACATTTGAATTTAAAATTGACAACTCAAAGTGTCTTCAAGAGAAGAGCAGCAACTCAGCATGTGAGACAAATGGTCCTTATCAGGCTTTGTGGAGAAGAGGGAGCAGGAGATAATGAAAGACTCCTCACCTCCTTCTGTAGAAATATGTGAACAGAGCAGCTCCTAGTCCCAGCAGCAGGAGGACCGCTACAATCAGGCCTATCTGCAACCCCAGGGCAGATGCTAGGAGACAGTGAAACATACATTGAAACAAACATTGGGATGAAATTCAAACCAGCAGCAGATTTGTCAAACCCCTCTAAAGCTTCATGCATATAAAGTGGGTCATCTTTGCAGGATGAACTTGATGAGATGCAGTTTATCCTTCTATTCAGGGTATTTCTCCATGTAGTGAAGACAGTGAGTAAAAAAGACTTCATCACTAGACATGACTTATATGTCAACCAGCATGATTGTTGCATTATTACTTTTCTAGTATTAGATATGTAGTTCACCTTAAAATGACTTTTACATCCTGAAACATGAACGTTTACAAATGTACAATAATTACACCACAAATCTCAAAGGGTAATCAAAGTGTAAATGCTTCAATGTGATGAGTAATAAAAACTTACTTAGCGTCAATGAAAATTATCAGCGGCCAATCAACGTTTTTTACTGTCAAGAACCACATGGCATCTATTTCTTAAAACTAAATCAAAACAAAATGAACAAGAATAACATCCTCTTAACACCTTTTGTGACTGTGCATGCCTGCTTTTGGAGTTCTTTCAAAGAAGGTAATAATCATGCTATTTCAGATAAACTATATTTTCAACTTCTCAGTGTAATTAGGGGAAACTTGGGGTCTCCCACAGAACATTTTAAGCAGCTAACATTTCTTTTCCTGCATTCCAATCAGTTTTTATGCACCATTTTGTGTCTTTTACAAATGTCTTTGAGTGTTCATCAGACACATGTTCCAACAATGATGAATGTGTTCATTTGAATACTTTAACAAACACGTGGACTGGAGAGTTGGAGTGTTTCTATTGCAGTCATATAAAATGTCCTCAGCTGTAGCTTTATACCATTAGCCTAAAGTCGTTAAGTTACTGAACTCACTATGTCATTGTTTTGTTTTGTTTATGCACATTTAAGAATGGCAAACAATATGAACATTAAAACAGAATCCAGTGTGTGATTATTACCTGAGACACATGGTCACGCATTTAAGACATGATCTTATTTTTATTCTTTTTTTTTTACTGGCTACTGTTTTCTTTTAAAGAGGGGTCCGGACAATTTGCAGAGTGCTGGTATCCTGCATGGACGTAAATGACAACATCCGGACCTCACTGAGCACACAGACGTCCAACTTAAATCAGTGCGCACAGTTTATGAAACAAAGCCTGCAGATTGCAAATTCAACTGTAGATACAGATTTGAAAACAGCTTTTTTTTTTTTAAATGAGCCATCGGATCCTCCATGCAACAAAACTCCTGTTTTACAGCCAAATTCCAGCAGATGCCTGTCCAGTCTGTCTCCGCTCTGTTACAGCAGCAGAGCTGATAGGTTTTCACCTTGGAGTCTGGAACTCTCTGTAGCAGATGCATTCAAAACGACTTCACAACAAATCTCTCTTTTTATCTCTATTTCATTGGGCTCCAATGCTGATCGTATGGGTGGAAATGTGTCCCCCTCTGTAAGGTGTGCCACACACTGTGAGAAGTACTGATCCATCAGCAAATGTCATTCTTTTTCGTTCCATCTCAACATGTCAAATTCTGACCCGCTGACAAAATGGCCATGTCTCACATTTTTGATGAAAGATTGAAATCATCACTAACCACAGTGAAAAGATTTAATGCATTTTTTCACCTCAGCTTGTTTCCTTCCACATGACTCATCCCTGCTTTTAGTACTTCACCATGAAAGAGCCAACAGCGTTTTACTTTTCCCCAGATGAGTGCATTGGTTCTTTTCAATCTCTTGAATGGAAATTATGTTTTTCCCACTTACTGTAATAACACCTCTGAGTACTTCAAAATCACACTATTTTGATACAGGTAGTATTTTATTGTATTTCTCAACAGGCAAGGCTGCCACTATTAATGAAAATAAACACATATAACATATAACACAAATACAGTGTGTTTATTTGTTGAAAAGCTGCTTCTGAAACATTTTCATGCAATAGCACTGAAAAGCTTATAATCTTAAAGATTATAACTGAAACACCGACATGTAATGTCCCTCTCAACTAGCAGTCTCAATGTGCAGAAATGAAAGCAGGTCTGAGTTTATAATCAAAGGCTTAAATTCTGTTTACTGGCAAATACCGTTTGTATCACTTTCTACTTTTTCACTCTCTGCTTTTAAGAGCGCCAACTTCTGTAAGATAGATTTACAAACTAACATGAATGTTTTCAAATGTACAATAATTACACCACAAATCTCAAAGGGTTATCAAAGCATAAATGCTTCAATGTGATGAGTCATACAAACTTAGCGTCAATGAAAATTAGCGGGACCGGCTTGTGAAAATCAATGTTTTTTTTACTGTCAAGAACCACATGGCATCTATTTCTTAAAACTAAATCAAAACAAAATGAATAAGAACAACAACGAAATAATAAATGAACAAGAGTAGGTATACAAAGGGACACGACCTCCGGTGACGTTAACAGAATAAAACATTCTGAATGTTAAACGAGGCAATTCTGATTCTTTTAACTACGATCATTTAAAACATTATCACCATGTAGTGTTATGGAACATGTAAATAACGATATGGACGGTGAGTTCACTTTCTCTTTCTACACTTCTTCAGAAGAAAGCTGTGAAAATGAGAGGAGGGGTGGAGGAGTCGCATATGGCTGCACCCTGGTGACCTTTCGTCTCATGCCTTTTTGCCTCAACCAGGGCTTGAGGCTCCAGGCTGCAGACATACATACATACTCTTGTTGGGCCACGCAGGCTTAGGACAGTCAAACAATGGACTTGGGCCTGCACCTCTGTAAAAGCCTCATTTGAGTTATTCACTGAGATCACAAAGAGGCCTAAAAGGACTCCTTATCCCAGAATTCCCTGCGGTACTTCACACCTACGTGTGACGTAAAGGGGGGACCGGAAGCTGAGGGAGACCCCACAGGAAGGCGGCCAGGTGATAAAACTCCAAGACTTCCCTTGTTAGATCTCTTTCACGCGCTGACCTTTGGTGCTCGGAGACCTAAGAAGATCTCCTGTTTCCTGCAACAATCTTCCTTTGTTTTAAGTTTTTTTGGCGCGCAGGTAATCCGCGGCCGGCAGTGTTCTAAATTCCGAGCTCGGATTGTCCAGTGAACGCATCTCAGTTTCTCGGAGAGCGTCAGACTATAACAGATTATCAGAAAGATAACGGTCTTATTCCGTCCTGCAACGAAAGGACATCAACGGACATCTTTCCACTCGACAGAGAACCAACGAAGCCGCTCTTGACGTAAGGGACCCTCGCTGCCATCAGACGCCTCTGCACCAGGACGGACAGAAGATCTGCTCCATCGCCGGACTCTTTTCCTTTCACCAATCGCGGACAAAGCGATTCACAAGTGAGGCTTATTTAGGTCTGGGCAGAATTAGCTTTAGAGAGTGTTTTTAACAATTGTTGATCGAAGCAGAAACTGTAATTTTTATCTTTGTTGGACCTGCGTCCTGAGTTTTAACTGTTTAAAACTCTTGTTGTTGTTTCGGACCGCTGCGTCCTATATGTGTTTAGCGTAACAGCGTTATAACCGGGTATCACTCCTCTGATCAGAAAGGCCAGTGTAAGCCGTATTAACCTGAATTCGGCTATTGGTTTGTTTCTGTGAATGAAGGGAATTACTCCGAGTTGTCGCGCGGGAGTCGGACTGTGATCCGGCCTCTTCAGGCACGCATTCCTCTTTTATTCTCTTTTATTTCCCCTTCTACGAACACACATACACACATATTCCTGTGTAAACGTACATCTGGAGACCAACTCCACCACCGCGCCATTACGCACAGAGATCTATCTCGCGGCTATCCAGACGCCTCAGAGACACAGATCGTGTAGGGCCGAACTCGGTCTCTTTTAGACCTTAAGGCCACATTTAGGCCTTTGTTAGGTGTGTGCCATCGGAAGGGCGACCACGTGGGACGAAGTAATCTTCCCCCCCCTCTCTCTCCCTTTCATCCACACGCGTACACACCCAGGTCTTTGTCAGGTTTGTGCCATCGTGAACAACCACGTGGGTACGAAGCCATCTCTCTCTCTCTCTCTCCATTCACACCCCTTCCACAAGCCTTTGCTTGATAATGTTTGTTGCTTAGATTAGTTTATATAGTTATTTGTTTAATTAAGTTCATTGATTTTGGATTGGTGTTGCTTTGTTTAAATAAATTCTGTCATAATTTAAGAGAGCAGTTGTTTGTGATTACTGGTGTATTTACATTGTGATATAAGCTGGGTGCGAAGGCTTTGTGTACGGATTTCACACCTTCAATTTATTAAATATAGTTATTCATTATTAATAATATTAGTAATTAAATAACTAATTTGAGACTGATTTGAGTGATATTTTGGTTATATTTACCTGATTACAGGTTGGTGCCCCAAAACGAGATTAAACATAGTTTAATGATATTTTATTTATATTATTAATAATTAAGTATAATTATTAAAGAATATAACCAAAGTTGACTTGATACAACCCCAACACTCTTGTTGACATTCTCTGAACAGCTGTTGCTCTGTGTTTTGTGCAGTGACATGTGCACGTTACCACATAAATTAAAAAAAAAAAACGTTTAAACGGTTGGCGATTTTACTAAACAGTTACTGTTTTTCTAAAGGACTAGTGTTTAAAGAAGTCACACCACTAGTGACTATTTCATTAGACTATTGCTTGTCGTCCATACCCTGTCTGCCTCTGTCTCTCTTGCTGCCTCAGTGTAGGATATTTGCGGCTACAAAGAGTTTATATTTTAAATTATATCCATTAATTATCAATTTGCATTACCGTATTTTCCGCACTATAAGGCGCACTTAAAAGCCTTTAATTTTCTCAAAAAACGACAGTGCGCCTTATAATCCGGAGCGCTTTAGCCTTTACCAACAGCCTACAAACGCATTTAATACTCACACAACAAACAGAAAATAATAAATGAGAGTTCTGTAAAAAAATAATGCAATATCGACATACTTTTTTTTAAACTCTTATTTTAGGGTAGGCTACATTTTAATATTAAGTTTGTATTTATATCACATATGTTTTCCCCTTAATTTAGTTTACAACAAACAACTTTAATCTGTGTGGAGATGTTCACAGACTACAGCAGGCTGCTGTGAGATGATTTTGCTTTTGTTAAATTAGCTGCAGACACGGTGAGAGTGAACAGAGTAAAGTCCAACCGACTGTTTGACCGGGTCACGTGTGTTCCCGCCTCGGTCCGTAAAGATCACGGATCAACTGTGTGCTGCAGCACTAAAAGTAAAAAGTAAAAAGGTTCGCGTGGTGGCTGGCGCTCCAGTGCAAGTGTGTGTGTGTGTGTGTGTGTGTGTGTGTGCGTGTGCGTGTGCGTGTGCGTTTGCGCTGTTTGTTGGTGTGTCTCGTCCCCCGCGATGTTCACAGTCATGACAGCAGAGAGGAGCAGAGAAAAGTAGCTGCAGCTTCATCAAATGCGCTTAATACGCATAGTTTCTATATATGACTTTTTGGTAAAACATTTACCCCCCCGGTTTTACCTGCACGTCATTGCGCATGCCTGCACTCTCTCTCTTGCGCGCGCTCTCTCTCTCTCGCTCCCCCGCTCGCTCTCTCGCTCGCTCTCTCGTGCACGCAGCAATTTCATGAATAAATGAAAAATTCAATACAAACAGGTCGGAAGTATACTTGGGCTCCCAACACAGGTATCGTGTGTGGGAAACAGTGCAATGAGATGAAATTGAAATCACTTTTCTATTTTACGATTGTATTTTATATTGACTAAACATCTCGCGATCGACTGAGAATCAGTCAGCGATCTACCTGTCGATCGCGATCGACTGTTTGGGCACCCCTGCACTAACGCTTGAATTAGCGGTATCAGACTGTGTTTCTTTTACGTGTTTACAACTGAACAAGGCTGGGAGATATTGTGAATATGCACATTAACGTTTGAACAACGTTGAGTTATTGTGAATGCACTACGTATAAAACTACGTTTTGAGAGTTAAGAGAAACGTCAAAGAAATAATTTATTATTTGGGGAAATCGTCTTATGTACTTTTGTTTTTGTAGTTTTATACGTTACGTTTTATACGTATTTATATTTATATATTCACAATATCTCCCAGCCTTGTTCAGTTGTAAACACGTTCTATTCTATGCGCCTTATAATCCGGTACGCCCTATATATGAAAACAGTTCTAAAATAGGCCATTCATTGAAGGTGCGCCTTATAATCCGGTGCGCCTTATAGTGCGGAAAATACGGTAATCTTCAATATTTCCTGCAAAGTGACCCGTCAGAGACCTCTTCACTTTGCAACCTGCTCTATCAGGGAATCATTTTCCCACTTTTGGAAACACATTGTACTTGACTGGCTTCTCGGGATGTGATATAACTGTTTATAAAGAGGGTAACACCACAGTCTGCCTCTGTGACCTTTCTGGATCTGTCTGACACCCTACTCCCCTAAACCCTATACTGCGTATAGAATTAGGTATATGATATAATCTCTAATTTGACACATGGTCCTGCAGGACCCAACACAAGGAGTTAGCTGCAACTTGCTTCTTTTTCTTTCAGTTCAGCTCAAGACTCCAAAGACCAAACTGAGAAGTCTTTATTTCATAAACTACAGACTACAGACTTCAGAGTTTTTTGTTTAGCTCATGAGTATAGTTTTATGTTTTTTTAAGTGGCATTTTGCATTATAAGCACAAATTAGATGGTTTTGTCCACTTTTTTGATCTTGTAATGTCAGGATGGGCTGACCTACCTGTGCTTGTGTGTCTGTGTGTTGATGGAGCTGAGCAGACGTCTCCCTGAGCAGATGAAGGACTCATGTGTGATGTCTGGATGATGAGGGCCTTCTGATGGTCCGACAGCGCCTGGATGTTCCCCCACACTCGCAGCCAGCCAGACACACAGGAAAAATTTGCGCCTTGATCACAGAAAAACAGATTTATTTCATTTATTTGCGAGGCTTTTTTTTAAGTCAAATGTACCTTCTCACATCCTAAAACACAAAATCTAAGTCACCCTGGACTCAGCTGTAGACTCCCTTCTTCACAATGACTCCAGGGAAACAGACATCTGAAACACTGTCTGACTTTTAGGAGTCAATATCTCCCTTGAGCCAGTTAACTCTGTTATCTCTTTTGAGCAAACACTATTTATCAAAGCAGAAAAATAAGCCAGCCATTTATTGAATCAGCCAAATAAAAAGTCCTCTAATGCTTTAGAATACGTTTTTAAATCTGAATGCTCCAGACTGTCACACCCAGAGGTCAGATCCACATGTGAGTGCTATCATGGAGGCTCTAAATAAACCCAATGAAAGAAATTAATTTACTGTATTATAACAACAGGTATGATTTCTACACGCATCATTTTTCTGATTAACTTTTGGTATAATGAAATGTAGACATTTTTTAATAAAAAATATTATGATTACCTAATATTTTATATTGTATTAAGAGCCCTTTGGCTCCACCTTCATTTTTACATGTTTTCTTTTTTATTGCCTTGCCTTCTTCTACGTGATGTTTGCACACTCTAATGATGTCAGTCAAAATGAACCTGAGCGCTCATTTATAATGAGTGCGTGCAAAGTTTTCCTAAAAAATCTGTATTCATCAAATAGTGCGGACAGCAGTCCTGGACTTTAATGATTTGTTCTCACAACTGAAAGACTTTCTCTCTCTCTCTGTGCATATACAGCACATCATATTACTGCATGTATCTATCTGTAAATCTCAGTCACTAACCACCTACTTTCCTGGGAGCTCCTGAGCTCTCTTAGGCTCCTCAGGATCGTGGGTGGACGGCCTGCACAACACTCATTTCTATGCGTAAGCATGGTCAGAGCAGACCTTATATTTAAACACATTCATACTAAGTAAGAGTACAAGTTGATCAATTCCATTCTTAGCATGGGAATATTCCTACACACACATCTGAGCATATGCACTGTTGATAAATGAGGCCCCTGGACTTTAATGATTTGTTCTCACTACTGAAAGACTTCTTCTTTTCCCCTATTTTACTACAACACAATGGTAGCAGTGTCCCGCTGTGCTGACTAGAATTTCTCCTCCTGTCCCACTGAACTCAGATGTCACTAATTTTTTCTGTCCTCTTTTTCTTACTTTATTTGGACAAACACTATTTCTTAAATCTGAAGGATGAGCTGGACATTTCTTAAATTTGCAAAGAGCTAAATGTAAAATTTCAATGTAAAAAAAGTTGTCTCACCTTGGAGATACAAGGCAGAGATCCCACAGTGACACCTCTGCTCGAGGTAATCGGCCACCTCAGCCACTTTCTTCCCCCGGATCAGAGCACTGCAGTCTGTGACAATAACAGAAGATGTCAGCTTTTATGAATGCTTATTTACTCTCTGCTAAACATCGGACAAAATCTGGGTGCTTTTTTTTTTTTAAATCAACCCATATTCTCAAATCAAAAAGTCGAAAGCCTATCTGCCCTGTTTTAAACAATTTTAAAAACTGTTTGCCTCACCTCCTGATTGCTCGTGCCACTCACTGGCCAAGGGTCCGAGGCAGAGGTCAATGTGACTTGAAAAGGCGGAGCTTGGACAAAGGTTGGTGCTGTGAGGTGTGGGGGATGAGCTCGTCCAAGAGGAGGCGCTTCTCACCTCACAGCATGAACAACGGCTGAGTGAGACAGGGCCATCTTTTACCGACCTGCACAGGTATGCAACAAGACAAACATACAGTAAACACACAGTAAAAGTAATACAATGTGTTCAGGTGGCTGGAACTACCTCTTCCTTTCTGGACATTACTAAAGGGGTGCCCCAAGGTTCAGTGCTAGGACCCATTTTATTTGAAAAATCTATATAAACAATCTCTGTAATAACTTGTCAAATGCAATGTATCATTTTTATGCAGACGACACCATTATTTATTGCTGTTCAACCTCACTCACCCAGGCATTTGAGTTTTTACAAGCTGCTTTTAATGTTATCCAGTCTCGTTTATATGATCTTAAATTGGTTTTAAACACAGATAAAATCAAGCTCATGGTTTTCCCTCATACAAAGGTGCTACCACAGAACATTACAAATATTGAAACATCTAAAGGAAAACCTATAGAGCAGGTTTTAAAGTACAAGTACTTGGGTTTTATCCTAGATCAGGAGCTTTCATTTAAAGCTCATATCAATAATCTGGTCACTAAACTATGCATGAAGCTTGGGTTCTTTTTTAGAAATAGAACCTGCTTCTCTCTCAGGGTCAGAAAGAAATTAGTGACAGCGACCTTCTTGCCCATTCTTGATTATGGGGACGTGCTTTATTTGAGTCATCCAAATTGAGATTTGTCACTGGCTGTGGTCGTCTCACCCACCATTGTGAATTGTATTTGAAATCGAACTTGCCTTCTTTGAGTGCATGCAGATATGCACATTGGCTGACCCTAATTTATAAGGCTCTTTTAGGCTTGATTCCTTTATATTTGTGTGCTTTATTGCAGAGAACAAGCAGTCGCTATGCCTTGCGTTCTTGTAACACACTTGTTCTATCTGTTCCTCGGGTAAGGACTGTATTAGGAAAAAGAGCTCTCAGCTTTGCTGCCCCCTCGGCATGGAATACTCTACAGACTGAATTAAAACTCCCTGAACTTATTCCACTTGGAGCTTTACGTTCTATCTTGAGGGACAGACAGCATGAGACCATTGAACAGTGCCTGTGTTTTTAAAATCTTAAATTGTTGTGTCACAGCTCCCACACTTTCTTTTTTATTGAAAACACTATGTTGTTAATCTATACTGTCACTTCATTGTGACTGTCACTGTTCTTATGACATGTGCTGCTGACCTCTTGGCCAGGTCACCCTTGTGGAAAGAGATCCTGATCTCAATGGGTTCTTTATCTGGTTAAATAAAGGTTAATAAATTAATAATAAAAAATTGCGATGCAATGAGTTATTGAAAACATTAACAGCATGACGAGAAGTAAAACATAAATTAAAACCAGTTAGTTGATATTATGTTGAAACAAATGAACACTGATTCCTTGTACAAACAAAAATGCTTTCCAATAAATTGCAGTAAACAGTGTGTAAAAAATGTGACCCTGCTGGCAGTTATTGAAACACACTGTAAACTTACATGCAAGGAGACAAGACATGATGTAAAAAAAAAAACACTGCAGAAATCCAACATGGCAGACAAAGTAAAAGAGTCTGACAGTTTGTTTGCCTTTACATTAGTGCTACGTGTAATTGGACATATTCACAGTATGTTTTTCAGGGATGCATGTGTAAAAACAGCATCATAGCTAAACTTTATGAAAATAACTCTTAAATAAATCATCTTGTTTGATCTGACATGAATGTTGTTTTAATCTATCATCGTCTGGTAGTTTAATCTTAATCTGTGATTTCACTTGTAAGGATGACATTCGGAGCACATTTCTGCTTTAAGAGGGAGAGAGGGGAAGCCAGCTGAAGCGCTGCCTCGATAAGTGGATATAAAATTGGATACGTCTTTTTGGAAACTTTGCAATCATCTTATCGATCCCATAAAAAGATAGCACTGAAGCAATATGGATGCTGTGGTAGAAAGGCTGCATTTAGCCAATCCCTGCCACAAATCCTGGGTTTCCCACAAGGAAATTAGTTTGTGTGAAGAAAGTAGATACCCACCTCTTCCCTCCCCTCAGGCAATGTTTTTTTTTTTTTGCTGAGGACAATTTGACGTTAAGAATAGGAAAAATCACAGCTGAAAAAATGAAATAACGAGGGTTTATTCTATTCAGTAGCTTTGGATTCAGGGTCCTTTATTGTCCATGCTGACTAACAAGCATAATGTCACTCTGCTTTTCCATCAATAAAACCAATAACATGAAAAACACTTTCACTGATTATCAAATCTGCTTCTAGAGCAGAGCTGTAGTTGTACCCACATGCTCCAGTTGACGGGTTGTTTTGATTTGTTTTAATCCAGTCTTATAAATTTAACCTGCCCTGGTAAAAAAACATAACATGGAAGTGTTTTGCCCGACCCAATTCAGATAATCAGAAGAAGGCTTTTACATGACTTCCTTTAACAGTCTGAAAAAAGTTCTAACATATTTTAAGGTCTCGATGGTTCATGTTGTTGGATTTTGCTCACCTCAGAGCTGGAATCACTTGTCTCCCTCTGCTGGTAGAAAGAGAGGAGAGCAGCTGCTGCTTTTCACTGAACACAAGAACATCTCTGAGACTGGAGTTTGTCAGCGCAGTTCCAGCTCTGCAAACACTGAACAGGTCATAGCAGAGGACCACCGCTCCTCGTACCGGCACTGTTGAGCCTTCTGGGAAAGTCTGATCTATGCAGGAGAGAGAGGAGGTGAAGGCGTGCAAAGAGCATAAGGTGAAAAAAAAAACAGGGATAAGAAGAGTTAACGTAGACAGGAAGTCTTTTTATTTGTTTCCTTTAACAAAGTCTTATTCATGTCTCACCTGCTCCAGTGACATTTCCCACTATATAAAATCCATCCTGGTCGATAGATCCTGTAAGAGGAAGGGCAATGACGGTCCCACTGCGCTCCTGCTCGAACACAGTGAGTACCAGGCCCTGCAGGTCCGTCAGAGGAGGCCCGTGTAGTTCCACGAAAGCCCTCTGCTGGCTATGATTGGTCCAATGTCCACTAGCCACCTCACTGATGACCACGCCCTCAGGGGCTGGAGGGGGACGGGGGCAGCTGTTCTCCCTCAGTGGGGTGGGTGGAGCCACCTGTTGGAATTGATTATTATAAATGTGTATACAATAAGGGTACATCTGCTTTTTATGTAATGGCAAAAATAGAACAGAGCTGGTTACAGTTTTGCTCAAAATCTACAAAGAACTTGCTAAATATTTAAAGGAAAAGGACAGCATTCTGAGAAAGAGTTTCCTAAAGTCTCTTTGTGTGAGGATTTATGACAGAAACAGAACAGAAACAATCCAGTACATAATGATTCCTAAAGCAGACTTTTTTGTGTGTTTCCTCAGGGACTTGCAGATACTTCATAGAAATATGATGACATAGATAAAGTGTTAGTCCTGAATAAAATGCAAACAAAGTCTGTACAGTGTACATATGAATTTCACTTGAAAGGAAATCTTGAAGAGACATTCAAATATATTCAACAGAATACTGCATGTTCATTTCTCTATGACTTTCTGTACGATTTCCTGAAGTGTACATTTTAAGCGTCACAACCGCAAATACATACTGTGTTGTTTCCTTTTTCAAAACGGCAACAATCTGTTGCCAAGCAACTTGTAACCCCATATAACACAGCTCGAGTATGAACTCAAACTCTTATGCAATAACTCACAGCCAATTCAGTCTGTGAGTCCAGTGCTAAAGCCTATGTGTGAAGATTGAAAATAGACCTGTGACAAGACTGCAAAAAGTTAAGACACACAGAGAGGCCCAATAAGGCCTGTAAGATCAAAGCATCATTTTAACACATCAATTTGTGAATGGATAAAAAATTAGACATAATGCATTAGTAAGAGAGTTTAAGAGGTGCTGGCAGATGGACAAAGGTGGACAGCCTGTTTTTCCTCTTGCTGCTAAGCTTAGCTTACTGCCCTCTTAATGTAGCTTAATATTTAGCCTATAGAGAGTAATGGTAGTATCCGCCTCTGATACAGTCTATAGCCTGATCCCATACTATAATAGTCTACCTATCAGATTTAGTACAGTGATGGAATAATGAAATTGGTACAGCTCTAGAATATAGATACATAAGTAGTATCAATATTTGTTGTGTACAAATAAGCTAAAATGGTGACCTATTCCTATTACTGCATCTCTCTTTTACCATTGTTTAATTCTGTTAATTTTTAAAGAAGAGTTAATTGCGAGTGTATTAGCCTCTAAGCTAACAAAGCCATGTACCATGACTTAAACCTTTCTCTCTGTACTCACAGAAAAAGCTGACAGGTCGTAGGGGTAAAGGCCTCGACAGCGGCTCAGGGCCTCATCCCCAGGCAGAACCTCTGGATCCTCCAGCAGGGGCAGCTGTCCTGGAGTCAGAGCTTTACTCAGCTCCTGTGCTTCCCTGTCTGATCCCCTCTGCCGGTACACGACTGCATCCAGCAGGCCTCTGGTAGGGATGCCTCTCTGCGTGGCTGACGGCGGGCCAAAGGGGCTGCGATAGAGTGCCACAGCGTCTGGTCCATTCTGGATGGTATTTGGGGGCAGACGGAGTGATGGAGCCGGCACCAACCGGTCGCTGCCCAGCAGGAAGTATCCCTTGGAGGTGGTGAAGTGTCCACTCAGGCTGATCTCTCTGTAGGGTCTGTTGTTGTGTGCACTGAACAGCAGGATCCAGATGCCCTGCAGGGACACACGGCGTCCTGAAGGATGCCACAGCTCAATGTACTCGCCATCCTCAGCTGCACCGGGTGTGTCAGTGTTCAGCTCATTGATCAGGAAGTCAGTGTTCCCCCAGGGCGGGAGGTGAGGCGGTGAATCTGTCCCTCCTGGAATCACTAAAGCATTAAGGATATATTATAAGTAAGCTACTGTGGAAGGATTTGTTTGACTTCATCTTGGCATAGTTTCTGTCCCGATTTAACAAACAACATGAATCACATTCTTTTCAGAGCTTTCACATGCTGCATGGTGGATTCTGTTACTTGTTGACACTACAAGGTTAGCTGCTTCCAGCCTTTTACAGAAGTATCACTGATCAGAACATGAGGCAGGAAACTGTAAGGAGGGATTTAACATAATTAGAAAACAGCACCTGCAACACTATCTGTTTTTCTTCAATGCTGTGTTGCAATGGGACACAAGGACATTTGAAGTACATTTGAATACTTTGTTATTACATGTTTACTGCATTCATGCAATACCTAAAACAAGGCATTAGGTGGCAGTATTTCACAATTCATCTAAAAAGGAAAAATCACATCATTTTAAGGTGAAGGCAGAAAAACCTTTACAATAATCTCTTAAACCTGTTGTCTTACTACATTAGTAAGGCAGACTTTGCCAACTGGGTTGGTGTAATGCCAATTTGTCATTTTCTGTTTCAGATTAATTTTATCTCATCTAGTTTCTCCTAAAAAGAATAAAAGCCTCATCAGATGCTGAGACTACAAAATAAGATGAGTTAAATGAGACGTAGCGATGTCTTAAGACAGAAAAAAAATTCTAAAAACGTAATCTTGTTTGTTTATAACACTCAAACTTTTTTTAGATTGTCTAACAAAACGTTGGGCTTTGTAAATTCTGCTATTTTGCTGCTGAGAACTCTACAGTGTGTAACCTTATTTCAGCAACCTGACAATGTTTTGTAAAAAGTCTTCTGGGTGATGAGTCATCATGGAAGAAAACACTGGATTTGTTCTCAACATCATAACTTCCTGTACCTGTCATTTCTATAACAGCAGTTTCTTTCTGGAATAGTATCCTCTAAAAACTCTCAGTTCTTACATTTTTCCACTTTTGTTCCATTCTAGCTTTGGTCCTTGGTTCCTCAGCTTGTAAATGACAAAACCTTTAACTTCCCTGAGGTCAGCGTTTGACTTTGAGCATGTGTATCCTTAGAATAACAAACATAAATCTGAGACTTTATGGTTCTACAATTCATTCGGCAGACACATTTGTCCAAAGTGACGTACATCAGAGAGTAACTACAACAACTTGATTTGTTTTTCTGTTCTAATCAGCATCAAAACTATCCTAAATATCATTATCGTCATCATCAATATCATGATCTATATCATTAAGTGTGTCGGTGTTTATGACAGAGCTGGGTCTTTAGCTTTTTCTTAAAGATGCAGAGGGACTCTGCAGATCGAATGGAGTTTGGTAGTTCATGTCACAACCACCGGGGGGCGACAGAGGAGAAGAGTCTAGCTCGAGACTTAGGGCCCTTTTTTGAAGGTAAGATCAGACGCCTTTCATTAGCAGAGCTTAGTGGTTCCTGAAGATAAAAAAAAGTTTTTCCTTGAAGTATCCATGTCTACATGCATAGACATGTAGATCTTTATACAACAACAGCCAAGTATTCAACAAACAACGACAGTCTCACCATACGGATGAGTCATCCTACATTTCCCACAGCTTCACATGACCTTCCTCTTTTCCTAAAACGTCATGTTGCCACATATAATTAAGTTAAGCTCCTCATTATATTTACTTTTACAAAAAATCATCACTTGGCCTTTTATTCTGTCTACATCTCATTAATAATATCAATTTATCATGCACACTGTTTCAAATCACAACCCCCAACATTTAAACATAAACTTTTGTATGTGTAGACCCATCTCAAAAAGGCACAGATGTGACAAAGATTAAAATAAAATAAAATGATAATCTTCTTCTTTAATTACTAACTACTTCAAAGCTGCAAAGTTACACTGCCATACATTTAAAACACTGACATTAACATAATGAAGTTACACTGTCTAATTCCAGTTTAAGTTACATGTGGAAATCATAATCTGAGGAACTAATGTAAGGTTTATAACTTTTTCATCAGCTGAAATGTTGTATGATAACCTTTCTTTAAAAGTTTAGCATACAGGCAAATAAAAAATAGAAAAGGGGTTTGACCACAAATCTGAGACATTGCCATTACGGGGCATGCACTGAAACCACTCAGCTAACAAGGCCCAACCTAGCAGATGTATTTTGATATATGGAAATAAATGGATCATAAATGAGTGACATAAGTCAGAACCCTACACATAAGAAAAGTAATTGATTGAACATTTGCTTATAAATTGTAGGGAGCTTAGGCATCGAGTAAAGTCTGTTTGCCAACCATATAGGTTTCATTTTCCCTCCCTCACCATGTGTAAACTGAAGAGAGAAAGCAAAACTCTAGTTTTCTGTCAGAGCAGGATATAATAATTATCTTGGGCTGGGGAAAATGTGCCTTGCTCAAGAACGTGAATTGAATCTTCCAAGGTTTTTCAAAGATACAGATCTTAATCGTTCTGACCATTCAACATGAATTCAGGAGTCCTGAAGCACATTCAAACACTCACCAATACTGTGAGGGCAGATCTTTGGCCAGGGGCACTGGTTGGGCTGTCCTGGAGTTTGTGGGGCCTCCCAGAAGACCCCAGGGTCTCTGGTCCAGGTGGCCACACCACACCGACTCAGATAGAAGCCTCCCTCTCTTAAACTAGAGAAATAAAAAAACATTTATATAATGTAACATTTTGTGTTGGTTTGAAAATTAATTGTTAACAAATAAAAGGTACGGGATGATGCTTTCCAACCAAACTTCACTTAAATACAAAGAAATTTGTTCTAATGCACATTTTTATCCTTTTTAGCCAAGTCAGCAGAGTCTCCAAACTGGCACTTAAATTGAGACTGAAATATCTAAGGGGTGATATTCTTGTATTCATGACATTCTGTACTGAAACACAGCACTCAGAGGATAAATCCTACTCAATTAAGTAAACCCCTGACTTTGCCCTAGAATTTCACTTTTTTTTTTTAGTTATTTTCTCCGCAAAATAAATTGCCATAAAATTTGGTACAGGCGTCTAGGGTGTCATTACAATCAGTTGTGATGATTTTAGTCATTATGCCACTTTTTTTGTTTGGTCCAAAATGTTAATTTTCAACTAATATCTGGCAAAAGTTTGGACACTCCTATGTACTTAGTTTGGTGCTCATTAGTAGGTGTGGAAATCAAAGTTCATCCTGATAGGATCGTCTATTGGTTCTTTGGACAATGATACTACAGTGTTTCCCTTAGGCAGACGGACGCCGACACAAACACTTGAAGGAATCTTGGTGTTGATGCGTTACTTTTAATGACAGCTGTCCTTTTCTATAGAAAGGTATCCTTAAATGACTTCTTTCCCTGATTTCAGACTCTATCCACTATCCTATCTCTACAATAAAGGAACAAAAAGCCCAAAAATAAATCTTCACCCTAAATCACCCTTATATAATGGTAGGGGAAACACTGTACTACATTTGCTGATATCACAAAGTGTTTCACAATACGGTTTAGTTCTGATTCTATTTAAAGGCCTCAGATTTGTATTAACCTATATCATAGGTTGATTTATTGAAACAAGTTAAACGTTTATCAACTAACAAAAACAACTTAAATATTACTTAACAATTGGATCCCTGAATTATTTTTTAATATAAAGAAAAAAAAGATTTATACTTTTTTCAGTGAATCATACAGATGACATAAAGATCAATGTTTACCTTTACATTGATGATATAGAATCACTTATCATTGAATCAAAATTTTTCTCCATACTGATGTGTCATACGGTAACACCCATTTTTATTAGCAAGGATGCTAACTCAAACACTGTAATATCTGCTCATATTTGATATGTTGGCATAGTCTTTTGAAGCATGTTAGCTTGCTCTCAGTAGTATGTTTCTTTAAGCTAAATTTTTTTAAATTTCTTTTTATTAGTTAACAAAACTTGATGGTTGATTTTTTTGAGAGTTGTTCCGCAAAATGTCTTGAAGTGTCTGAGAGCCTGCATGTGACTGCTGCTGTTCCCCAGTGATTCACACAGCAAACAAGAAAACAGTGTTTTAGGAAAGAGGAACAGTAGTCATCAGCTGACCATTTCCCCCCTTGAGTGAAACACATCTTGATGTGTCACAACACTTGAGAGTGGCCTAAAAAAATAACCGCTGAATATATCTGACATGGCCTAAAGAACATCACAAGCCCCTCCACACTCACTCCTGTGCGTACTACAGTCATATTGGCATGGTGTAACTCTTGAGAGTAACACAGTAGGAAAGCCTTTAGTGTCTATCATAGACTCTTGCCTGTTGCTGAGTTGGTAGGGATGTCTGCCTGGGATGAGAGTCTCTGTGAGGTTGGCACTGGGCCTGTTTCCAGGTCCAGCAAACACAAAAGCATCCAAAGGCTGTATCTGGCTCAGAAAACTGCCAACAGGGAAGTCTGTTGCTCTGCCACTGTAAATAGCCACTGCCCCAGACTCATCTCCTGAGAAGAAATAATAACAGGAACAAAGAATTTACAGTGAAACAAAAGTGAGTGAATGAAAAGGACCAAGCGTAGCTAACGTTAGAAGCAGCTTAGCTGGCAGCCTCTCCTGACCACCTGTGTCTGCAGATGAGAGTCAGAGACACTCACATTTTAACATGGAATGGTTTTATTTGTGTTATTTACCCATTTTAATAATCTTTATGTTTTCATTTAAAAATATACAGCCTTGAAATGTGTGACTGGAAAACACTGATTACAGTTATTTAACTCAACTAATGTTACACTCTCTGCTAGCGCCACACTATTGTCTTTTTTCTCACATGATAAATATTGTTACGATAAACATCCTCCATATATCCTTAGAATTATTTCTTAATTTCTGCTCTGAAACAAAATTTGCTCGTGGTATATTTTAAATGGCTACCAATTTTGAGAAGATACATGTGATTATGTTGAGGGGGCAAAAGTCAATGCAATGACTGGTGTACTTGCAGAGTCAACATTTTAGGCTGTATCCAAGGCTTTTTTCATTGTTTCATTTCATTGCTTCATTATGGATGAATCAGTATTGGTATCGGAATCAGATACTGCCCAAAATGTGAACTTTGGGTACCAGTGGATACACAGTAAATGAACCGATCTGTTACTATTACCAATTAGCTCCTAAAGATCTACTGGTTTCAGATAAATTAACATATGACAATTACAAACAACAATGGTGTGCAACCAAGAAATGAAATGTTAGTAAAAGCTAGCAAAATGTTTACAAAAAGTGTCATTTGACCAAAATAATGTATATTTTTAAACAGAAACTTGGCATTTGCCAGTACTTAAATCTAGGTATTAAAATCGGTATCAGGATATAAATTTATGGAACATTTCCCCTTGTGGTATAAATAAAGTGCACCTTCTTCAAATATTGCATTTCAGGCACTGATAGATGCATTTGAAATACTAGTACAGGTTTTAGAAGGTGTCTAATGATGACCCTCAGCCCACTGACCTTTCATGAAGCTCTTCTCTATTGTCATGGAGATCAACCCATTCCTTGTGTTGTCCACATTCACATTTGCGCTCACACTGACCCGGTCCGTCTTCCCATCCAACACCACCAGCACCAGAGGACCTGCAGCGGAGGCCTCTGTCAGCTCCACAAACCCGTCCACCTGCCCTCCTCCCAGCTTCAGCTCAGTAATGACAGGCATGGTTGCTGGACTAAGAGATGCGGTGCAATTGTTCCTCTGACCCGGGAAGGGGGAGGACACCTGAAAGCCCCAGCGATCTTCAGACAGCAGACACCTCTCGATTGACTCGTCACCCTCAAGCGCAGTCTCATCCTCGACAAAGGCCGGCTCTCCTGGGGTCAGAGTTTCAGCCAGGAACTCTGCACCCCCCGTGCGACGGGTCATGTACACGACGGCATCCACCAGTCCATGAGATGTGACGTTCATCTTTTCATTGTATCGAGCAGCAGACGTGTGGTAGAGGACGACGGCGTCCGGGCCGTTCTGGACGGTGTTGGGGGGCAGGAGGATGGCAGGTTTGGGCAGCATGTCCACAGAGCCTACCAGAAAGAATCCTCTGTCGTCCGTGCTCTGACCTTTGAGATCCAGCACCTTGTAGGCTACATTTCCATTCCCATTGTAGAAGACAAGCGTGTAGCCGTCCAGTGACGCCCGCTGTCCACTAGTGTGGTACAATTCCACAAATTCAGTGGTGTCCAATCTTGGGTTGTCAGCGTTGATCTCGCTGATGATGAGGCAAGGTTCACAACAGACAACTGCCATCATGCAGATAGACACAACACAGGCCAAACTAACCTCCATGATGTTTCCTTAAAATGCTTGGACAGAGCAGATTCTGGAAAAAAAATAAAAATAAATGAATAAAGGACCACAATTTTTTCAAGGAAATAAAAGAACTGAATGGTTTGCAAACTGAAGTAATAGTGTGATTTCATTCATACAACACATCTGAAACTACATCTTAGCCACATAAAAGCAAAGGTTAGTGAAGCATGCTCTCAACGTTTACTACAGCAGACTCCCTGCAGGACTAACCTCATAATGTCATGAAATAGTCTTCTATGAGTGTATTTATTGTTCATGGTGACATTGGGAATGCACGTCTTCTGCATGAGTCATGAAATGTTGCGAAACAGGCTGGCAAGCAGATGGAAAGTTTGTATTCAACGGACCGGTCAAATGGTTCATTTAGCAGTAAATTGACGCGATATCATAGAAGTTACTGGAAGTTTAAAGGCTAATAAAGAGGAGCCGTGTCGTTTCTCGGGGTCAAATTTGGATATGTGATGCTATTTACAAATTCAACATCAACCTCAATACATTCAAATCGCCACAACTTGAAGGTTAGCTAACTTGTCATAAGGGACTACATTAGTGTGCATGAGTAACTCTTGTTAATGTATTTTAATGGGAGAAAGCGTTAAAATGTGCCTTGAAATCATCCCATCCTACCACAGTTATTCCAGTCACGGTTTAGGCTGCCATGCATCTTTCCGTTCAAAAAAAAAAAGCCTGTCAATCTGCTTTCTATCAGTGCCACACAAGGTTCCTTAAAGACGTCCTAACTTACCGTGTTTCCTCCTTCCTTGTCGCCCAGGTGTCGTGCGCTGCTCGGTTCAAACTACGCAGTTAGAAATCAAATTGTTTTATCTACCCGCCGGAAATAATCTTTGGTAAAGTTTGTTTTCTGTCCTCCGCCGCTCCCTTCATTCACAAAGCAGCACTTTCTCCCCCCGGACTGTGGGCGGTCAGACTGACTGAGGGGGATGATGCCTGCCAGGGAAGCTCTCTTTTTTTTCTTTCTACGACTCAGTAAACCATTCAGACATCCACAGCTGAAGATAAAACTCAAAGTAAACCAAGAGAAACGTGCTCTTTGACGAATAAAACACGTCTCAAATATTTCATGATTTTAGTACAAAATAACACCATCGCATCGAGTTCATCCCAAGAAGCCTCGTAAAAGACCTGAAGGGGGCCCCTGACCCCACTTTGTAAAATACGGGAGAGCGGGGTCAGTTATAACACTTAACTGACAGCCAAAGATCCCCCCAAATTAGATCAGTTGACCTCAGTTCAGTTTTAGTTTGAGCAATTTTTCAAAGCTTTTGCTTCATCTGGAAAGTAGTGTTTAGTGTTTGAAGGAGAAAAACAAATGTTGCTGTTTGCTGTGTTGAAATACTCTAAAAAAAACAACATAGTAAAAGTTAAAGTACAAAAGTTTGTTAAAGGCTTTATATGTGATTTTTCACACTTAAATATAATATAAATCAAGCATATCCTCTGAAAATAACTCTATGAGTCATGACTGTCTACAATGGGTGTAACACCCGAGTCCCACTGTCTGTGATGTTTTCAGAGTTTTCAGAGTCCTATCTTCACTTTGTTTACATCGCCAGGACGGCCGGCTGACTCCTCCCCTCATGTATAAAAGTTGTTTAATTGAGGGACTAGAGAAAAGAAGAATAACATACTGTACTCACTGCTTAACTGTGTTTCTAGATCACGCTCATTTCAGGTAAATTTACATGCAGTGTGAAGATACGAGCATAATAAAGATCACTAGCATTAACATGCTAACACAACAATGCAGCGCAAGTTGTTTTGGTTTCATGCTGGTGCTCAAGGGCGACATCTGCTGGATCAAAAAAAATCACATATAAAGCCTTTAAAGTTTGAAGATATTCTAAGCATACAAAAGTTAAAAACACAACATTGAATGGTTTGTTTCAGATTCTTTGTAATGTATTATAATTTTTGATGCAATAAAGTATGTAAATGACTCATATATTTTAGAAAAAATTAAATGTTTATTTTATATTTACCATCAGGTGTCTTACAGTTCCACTAATAGATCAATTACATCAATTACATCTGATCTCTAAAAGAACATTCTTTTTTTCAGACAATTCTGTATTTTATTCATTAAAAAACTTTTTTTTTTGGCTTTTTGTGCTCTTAATTGAGAGGAAGGACAGTGGATAGAGTTGGAAATCAGGGAAAGAGAGTAGGGAATGACATGTGGAAAAGGAGCCACAGGCTGGATTTGAACCTGGGCCGCCCGCTTGGAAGACTACAGCCTCCACACATGGGGCGCACGCACTAACCAATGCGCGAGCCAGCTGACTTGAGTTGGTGGAAGCAACAGATAGTGAATGAAGTTAAAGGTTTCGATAATTGTTTTTTCATATGAATGTCCACGTCTGTTTAAATTCACCTTTTGAATACTATTTACTTTCATTCTCTACTGTCTGCATTACTTAAAAAAATATTCTCTGTAGATTATATATTCCAAGACAGACATATACTCTGGGGTTTGGACTTGATGAGGCCCAAAACAAAAGACTGAATAGGTGTGGATGTTGGGAGGGGCCTTTGGTCTCCTGCCTCTTGAATAAACTTTAATGGAAAAGCTCCATTTTTCTTTTTTCAATCACCACATGATTTAAAAAAAAAAAAACGTGAATTCTATTATAAAATAAAATATAAATTCAACACCCAAAGAACTGTGCAACTGAATGCCGGGATCATTCAAACACTCATATTAGATATACATATGTGGGGACAAATATCATTGTGGGGGTTCAGCTGAGAGACAAATTAATTATAAAGAGATATCAGTGAAGTAATATTGAACTCCTTAGATATCTGTTGCTGTTACATTGTCCTATAGCTTGAATGATAATTCTTGTGCTCTGCTAAAGGCTCCGTATGACACATCTTGTTAAATGATAACACATTCAAATGTGTGAACAGGGAAGTTCTTCAACTCTTTGATTCACATCACAAGGGAATGCTTCTAAATCTAAATCTACTGAGTCTAAATCTCTGAGCAATACCTCCAGAGTATGATCTAAACATTTATATCTTGTCATTTGTTATAAAGGATTTTTTTAACTGTTCATTTTGTTAATACTGACAGTATTTTGTCAGGTTAGCGTAGAGCTAATGTCCAGCTCATGCTGAGGATTCAAAGTTTCAATTTAGTTGATGAGGTTTTAAGAGCTCATTCATTGCAACATATAGTTTTTGATGATTTACTAATTCATATATTCAAAGAGGAAAGACATTTGCTGCCAAAAAAACCCCAAACGGGTTTAATTACAGAAACTGAAAACATTGCACTCGTCCTCATGTGAATGATCAAACTGTCTAGTTTGTGTCAGATGTTGTTTATAGAACGGACTACTCGTCTCAATGACAAGCCTGCACATGTTTTCATGATCTCTTTCTAATATGGATTGCCTGTTTATGGATTTCTGGTCTTTTTCTGATCGTTTTTGAGGGCGACCTGTCTGTGAACAAGATATATCTGTGACCATGTGCTCAGAGAATGAAGTTCACTCCCCATACATCAGCCCTGTGATTGAATCCAAATGAGTGCATGTAAACTATACTATTTTTTTTATGTTTCTTTCATGCTTAATTATTTCTTAATAATTTACATATGGAAGATTTCTCTTTATGCTGAATTATGTGCATAAAGAAAAAGCTAGGCTGCATGAGAACGTTTTCCATCTCTAATTGTTGTATTTAAATGTCTGCCTTCTTTGATGAAGGCCTATTGAATGTTTTTTTTTTTTTTTTACTGATATTTGGGCACTTAGAAGCATAAAATCAAAAAGCCAAGCCATGCTATCACACCAAAGCCTCTCTGTGGTGTGAAAGAAGTTGTATTTAGTGTTTAGATAAGTCACAACATGAAGTGAGAAAATTTAAACCAGACTCCTCTATCATTTTTGCAGCTTCATTATCATCAACCAAACTCTGATATTATCGTCTTTGTACATTTCAAGCCTTTGTTATTCAACCTCTTTTGAAATCCTGGTGGGTAACTTTACTACCTTTATGCACCACAAGATGGCACTATAGGCATATGTGTCAGAGTTGTATCTGCCATATTATTAGTCTGTGGACACAATTAAACTCTCAGCTGGGGACAATTGGTGAAAATGACAACAATATGTTACATCTCCCCTGAGATGTAACTGTTCATAGAGGATTCTACTGGCCTAGGAAGGTCTTATGATAATTTGTGGCATTTGCATGTGTTGTGTGTGGTGTTAGTTGACATGTCTGGGTGTATGTTGATGCAGAAAAAGGGTCATTTGAAATGTTAATGATGCACACATTTATTTATGGCATGTGCATGAAGTTTGCATTCCGGAAGCAGCAGGTATTTCTGATTTTCTCACTTTTCAGGAGTCAATAACCCACTGACGAGGTACTTCTCATTAATTTGGCAGGTTCTGTTGTGATGACTCACTGTCAGGATGCCTATGATTCATTTACTGAACCCGGCTTGTGTTGGAAAATATGTAAAGATGATACGCTCAGGGTAACATAGGAGATCAGCTGAATTCATTAAAGGTTTAAAACCGGCTCATCAGCCCTACAGTATGATTAGGAAGTCAGCTGGAGTTTCATTTCATACTTTTAAGTACCTAAGGAGAAGATTGATTTATCCTCAAACGATATAGTAATAATGGACACTGACACATTTTAATACAGTGTAATACAGACGAAAAAGTGAATTTCAGCTCAAAAATGTATTTATTTTTTCCTAATGCAAAACTGTTTCGCCGTCTTCACAGACCCCAAACCCACTTTTTTTTGGTGAAGTGAATCAGGAAAATGCAAATCAGCTCGAAGCATTACCACTTTGCATGTGCAGAGCAGAATTCAGCAGCCTTCACCTTTTTTTTTCTTCAAATCTTAAACATGTGCTGTCATGTCCCCTGTTTGATTTTAGTGTGAAGTGTGACAGCGGCTGGATGTGTGTTGAGTCATTTTGTTAGAAGTGCAGACAGTCAGAGAATCATCCCTGACTCAAGCATTAGATGAATTTCAAGAGCAGCAGCAGTAGACTGGGAAGGAAATGTTTTCTCCCACTGGGAATATATGAGACCATCTACTTGAAAGATGAGATACCAGCCAGCCCAAGCCTCAACATGGAAGACCACCAACAGATGAAATCAAAAAGCAAGCATATGACATTGCAGTTTTGAAATTTTACAACAATACTTCAGAAATGTACACATTAATATGCACCCACTTCAAATATAGAAAGTAAACCTCTGTTGCAACAAAAAAAAAAACCTCTGAAATCTAAAATATTAAATATTTGACCATTTTTAGAATGGCAATGCAAGCTTCCCCCCACTGCCATAATCCATGTGTGTAAGATAAATTGTTTACTTTAAGTTGCCTGTAGAGGTAAATAAGACAGTAAATAGTTGTTTGTCTCCATCTGTCTTCATCTGTGTGATGTGGGACAAGTGATGGAAATGCTTTGCAGTCCTACACAAAGCAGGACACCAGATCACCCTACAACCTCACAGCAGACAAAGTTCATGAAATTCATACTCCAAAATTCAAAACACAAGAGAGCGCTGCCTCCCTCCGCCCCCTCCTCCCTAGAGTCAATGTACACACAGGTTGCCATGTCACAGACACTGAAGCTTTAGTGTTTAAACATCTATGCATGGGTCTGTAAACCTTTCTGTGTTCTAACCTCTCTCAATTTTTCAAAAGCATCTTCAATTTTTATTTTAGTTTTACCACGCTTCTCTTTCTACCCTGATTGGGGCAGAATCACTTCTATCTGAACCACTTCTCTTGCCCGCTTCCATCGCTGCAACACCTGTTGGTTTGACCTGATAACTGCTCTCATATCTGGCAAACCGAGGGGCGTCCAAAACGGCCGTGTGGGGGGGTGCCTAAAAACCGCCTACCTCCTCTGGTCCAAACAAATCCAGAGCATTCAGGAGCAGAATCTAAAGTTAGAAGGAGGACATACTGGCTGCTGCATTGTTGTCAGAGAAGCCAGC